TCAATATGTTGCGTACGCATATCACGAAAAAAAAGCTCCAAATTCAACAATTCCAGGCGACACTAAATTCAACAAATTCATGTTGTTTATTCCGGACCATTTGACTCTCATGTACATATCATCTTATCTGAGTTCAAGAAAGTCTCTAGGGTAGGGCCATGCAGCTTTGACTGCTATAAATCCTTCACTGCATGCATCGTAAATTAAATGAGGGTGGATGATAGGTTTACGCAAGTTTAGTCAAGGTCCTTCTTGTTCTCACTCCCCAACCGGATTAGTTCTCAAAGTCCAACCAAAGCATTCACTCATCTAGAAAAAAAATCACCTGCTGATGGACGTCTCTTCAAACCCACCAACATGAAAATGCTTTGATTTCCACACACAAATTACTAATAATGATAATAATTTTTTTTGGTCAAATAATGATAATATTTATTATTATGATGTAGTTGGTGTGATCTTTTCTCTAGATAAACCACGTCGTTTTCACAGCAGAGATGATTTGATATAACTCTAATTTAGAAAGACTCCTCTATCCTTTCTGTACTTATCTTCCAATCAAGAAGTATATGTCCTTAATAATAATTAGCCTACTTGAGTTACTTGCATCCACCACGTATGTAAAACAAGCAACTCAATTAAACTGTGAGGAAAACTAGCTTAAGTTAATAATGTTCATACCATTAATCACCTTTTTAAATTAAGAGGATTTATACCCTCGAGAGACAGATGCATGCATGTACTTGGCAATGCTCTCGGCGCCTCATAAACTATAAATCCCTATGACATTTTCGCAATACAATGTCCAAGAGAGGTATGGGTAATAATGATCCGCACAAAAGAGTCGTGCAGCCCAATATCATCGTACTTTTGCGCATCATTAACCGTTGGAATTGGAGATTGGGTAATATTTTTTTTTTTCTGGATTGACGAATTTCAATTAAATGATCCGAGTAGCGAAGTCATGGGTAAAACTAGTACTTGACGCGGTTATTGCGTTTAAATAATTCGAGATTGGAACGCGGACCCTACAAAGTACCGAGTTAGCAATGCATAAGTTGCGAAGTAAGGAATCATCCTCGAAACACATCGGTGGCCAACCATTCACGCAACAAGAATTAACCTAAATTCACATGCTCGGTCAAGCCGGCCAAAGACACAATGCTTGTGACGACCACGAGTTTTCTTTTCTTTATTTGCTTTTCCATTTTTCCTTATGTTTCAACATTCATGACGAAGAAGGAAATTTCTCTCCACCTTCTCAATCTCAAAGTCTAACAAAGTTGAATATCTTATCATTATCTCCTGTCTTGTCGTGACTCAATTGCCACACAAGTCGCCGTTCATAAATTAGGGTTAAACTCGAGGTGTGCATACTAATCAATCATGGCAAGATAGTCGTCTACTACCTATGCAACGTATTTTGTCGTCTAAATTCAAAGTTAGGCGACTGCACTTCTTTAGCACTACCCTGCATAAGCATAATGCGAACGACAAATTAGCTAGTTGATTTAGCTTTGACCGTTTTGATGATGAAGGGAAATAGAACTTTGGGGCGTCCGCAGCTGTCTAGTCAATAATGGCAAGAGATCAACGATGTCATCTTGTGTTCTATACAAAGATTTATGAACTGCATTCTTTTATTAAAAATTACAGCTGCCAATGAAAGAATATAAATCGGAGCTTCCGATTATTTCCAAAGATTTTTCCCTAGGCAAGAGGATGAAGGACAAAACGTTCAATGTAAACCAACTTTCTCATTCGTAAATGCATAAACATTCACCATCACCGGACCTAATGGCTCGTCGGGTTTCGCCTTCCCGTCCCTTCGACACATAAAAAGATTGGCTAGGTCTATCGTTGTGCATGGCATATATTATCCAGAAAGCGGGTAAGAGGAGGGATGTGGCGAGCGAAGAAAACTCAGTGCATCAAAAATGGGGTTTGAAGGGAAAAAAGGAAAGGAACGAAGAAAGGAAAAAGTCAAAAAAGAAAAAGGGAAAAGGAAGACAGAAGAGAGACATCGATGAGCCTTTGGACCAAGAAGGCATTAAAGTCTAAAGGGCGAGTGATGAAGGACCAACTCATCGTTTTCATGCAGTAACATCTAACATGGGAAGGAGGGCAATGCTACAATGTGTGTCATGTGGTCATTGATGGCTATTTAGACCCGACAAGACCCCCCCATATAATCAAATCTCTCTCTCATTTTTTCCTTCCTCTTCATTCTCTCGTGTCCCTTTCACTCCGGATGATCCCCCCATAATCAAATGTCATCAACGACTTAATTTTTCTCCCTCGCATTATGTCTATCCCCTTTTGCTTCACATCAGTTTGGTCTCTGCAATCGCGTAATTCGATTTGGTGATTCGTATGAGTGTTTTGCAGGCGAGTTTGCAGCACTTCCGAAATGCAGAGAACATCAATCATTGCGCTTATGAAGCTTTTGGAGCAGCAATGGCGTTCGATGGGTACTTGGTCCCCCGCATATTTCCTCATTTTATTCTCTCTTTTCCTCTATCTCCTTCCTTCCTTTATTTATTTATTTTATTTTGGAAGAGAACTTTATTCTATTTTTTTCCCTTTTCTTCTCTTTTTTCTCCCGTTTGCAGAAAAAAAATTACGATATAATTGGAATTGACGACCCGATCGTGGATATAGAATAACGCTCTGAAAAAAGCATATATTCAACATGAAAGTTGCTAAAATGTCGATGCTACCGCCGCTAGTTCAACCTCTATGCGTATGGCGACATGATTTTTCATAAAAAAATTCTCTCAAATTAAAAGACGATGAAATGACACCGTTGAAATTATAATATTCGGTGATGGGGGTACAATAATCGTAAGCTTTATTCTTTATTCTTGGACAAGTTCTTTAGCATCATATTGTTGTTTGGCTGGATGGGGGTTTAATTAATGTGAACACATCGCTTTTAAGATTCTTGTTATTGTTATTAACTCTACACGGACAAAGTAGTCTCTTTAGTGCTGGAGATTAAGGAAAGGATGGATGGTCTTAGGTTTTGCATAGAATATAGGCTACTTGGGTTGCAAACTATTTGCACCTCTCAACCGGGCATCAATGAATTGCAATGATAAGCAATTAGAGACTCCTAAAGTTTTGGTTGTCGCGTAATCGCGAGTAAATTAGAGATTCGAAACACACTTCAAGATGCAAGCAATGTTCCACAAGTCCATTTGCGGCATCTATATTGTCTTTCCAAAAGAAAGATATGCATTTTTATCTCTACCACTTTAATGATATTGTTTGGAAGAATGAAGACATGACACCATAAATTATCAAGGCCATATATAATCAACAAACCGGATTAAGTGCAATCTACTGGCATAAGTGAGCGTTTGAACTGTCCAACAATTAAATCAAGCAGTAATTCGATCGTCTAGTGGCTTGTAATATTTGTCTGTTATTCGACCAAAAAAAAAACGAAAATCTTTGTCTATTAACCTCCCGGAGATGAGGGAAACACCTGAATACCTAACAGGTAGATAACCCCTCTCAAAATTTCAGTCTTGTATGTATAGATGATTGAGTTGAATCTTAGAACAGTAAGGACAACCCTTAATTATTCCGGCCTGAGCAGCTGTATTCAACATCCCGGACAACACATCCATTGCGATCACAAGAGGATAGGGAGACAAAGGATCACCTATTGCCACACACTCCCAAGCACCAAGGGAATAAAACCTCCAAGGATCCATTAATATTGACCAGGAAAGCTAGGCATAGTGATGCAAAGCTTGACCCAATTTGATGAAACAAGCAGGAACCCAATAGATCGGAGACTTTTCAAGAGGAAATCCCAATTTGAGGAGTCAAAACCCTTCCTTAAGTCAGCTTTGATCAAGCATACCTTGACTAATTCATGAGCTACCAAACTGTCATCTACTTGATGATTTCTCCTTTCATAAGTGCACAGATCGATTCATGCCAATGAAAAGCGGCAACACTTTTTACCTAGCCCATTGGCCAATATTTTTGCAACCCACTTACCTTTCTTTTATAAGAACTACAGTGACCAATTTTACTTTTTTTATTTTTGGGTTGAATCCTAGTTCGTTTTTTGATGGAAAATCTTGTCAAAGAAGTCGCCCTTAAGAACAACGGGCGATGCTGCCAAATGATTGAGGACCTGGGGCACACGCGCCCAAGGGGAGACAGGATCGACGGTGCAGCTCTGATCAAACGTTGCCATCATCATCATCATCCCATCACCAATCCCATCGTACGCACAGGAGTCCATTAGGATCTTGGGTAATCGGGTCAATGGCTCCCCAATCAAACCCAACATTAGAATAAGTTCCTCTTTTTTTAATGATTGCTTTTCCCACTGAATAATAATAATAATAATATAATAATAATAATAATAAATATATGTGTATCGTCTTTTATTCAAATGGCCAAAGCCGGAGGAGGAGGAGGAGGAGGAGGGAAAAGAGGCCTTTGTTTTTCTATAATGGAGGGCGCATATGCTCTTGAGCCTAAATTCCTAACACAACCAATGCTCTCTCATCTTTTCAATCCCCAAAACACCATCCTTCATTATCACACTTCCCCATCAATCCCTACCCCACACCCACAAGAAATTCAAGAGAGAGAGAGAGACGCGAGAGTGAAAAAATTATCGAATGCCGAAAGATATTATTAAGGTTCGTAACCTAAATTGATTTACCGAGCGATGTGATGCTATTAGGACTTTTTTTAAGCGTTCGATAGGAATCTGTCGGTTAACATTATTTAACTGATGAATTTGTTTTGGTATTCTTGCATAATTTAAGAGAAAAAAAAGTCTTGGGATGGAAAGTGGCAGGACAGAACAAAACAATGCAAATAAGCAACTCTCTCTCTCTCTCTCTCTCTCTCTCTCTCTCTCTCTCGCTCTCTCTCTCCTCACCTCATCATCATTCAACAAAAACAAAAGAAAGCCCTTGTTTTTCAACATCCCACCTCTTCTTCTCCACCCAAACTTAAATTCTCTCTTCCACTCCAGTCCCTCCCTCCCTCCCTCTCTCTCTCTCTCTCTCTGTGTCTACCCCCCATCATCAATGGAGGCTGCCATTAAGCAACAGGAGAGAGAAAGCCCACACCCGCCTATGAGCTCCTCCTCGAGCTGCATCATCAATGGCAACAAGAACTGCGCCAGCAGTGATCACCAAATGAGCAGCAATGGAGGCGCTGCGGCGGAGGTTCCCACGACGCCCCATCCGCTCACCCCGAAGACCATCACCAGATCTGAGACCAACCCTTACCCAACCACCTTTGTCCAAGCGGACACCACCAACTTCAAGCAAGTGGTCCAAATGCTCACCGGCTCATCCGAGACCGTGAACAAGCAAGCCTCAAAGCAGCCGAGCGCAAGCACTTCTCCTCAAGACCCGCCATCACTCCCGCCTTGTAATTCCAAGAGTGCAATTCCTCCCAAGAGACAAGGGTTCAAGCTCTATGAGAGGAGGAACAGCCTCAAGAACAGCCTCATGATCAACACCCTGATCCCGGGCTTTGCTCCGAATTCCGGGTTCTCTCCGAGGAAGCCAGAGATCTTGTCGCCGAGCATGCTCGACTTCCCTCGGCTCGCGCTCAGCCCGGTGACTCCACTCAATGAAGACCCTTTCAACAAGTCCTCGCCTTCTCTAGGGAATTCTTCCGAGGAGGAGAGGGCCATAGCCGAGAAGGGCTTCTACTTGCATCCGTCGCCGATGAACACGCCGAGGGACGCCGAGCCGCAGCTCTTGCCGCTGTTCCCGGTGACCTCGCCGCGCGTCTCCGGCGCCTCCTCGTGAAGAGGGGAGGGAGAGGGAGGGGTCTCTTTGTGTATTATACGTCCTAACGTGATTTTCAGTCGCATGCGGTTGAGTTGAGGAGGTCATGCTCCAATTGTAGGTCCAATTTGATGATCACTCTTCTATAAGCTATTCAGGAAAAAAAGAGAGAGAGAGAGAGGATCTTTATTTACTGAGAGTTAATATCTTTCGCTTCAACTTCATTAGCCCTGACTCCAAAACCAAGTCAAGTTCCCCAGCAAAAAATGGCAAAAAAGGAAGTCTCTCTTTCACTATTCATAGACACCCTCAAATTTCTGTTGTCTGATGTTCCCCTACTTCTTCATCTTTTTGCTTAATTTGCACACTTGAGTTTTATCTGCTAGATCCACTTCTTTCAGAGTAGCACAAATAACACCTACAACAAATACAACATCCAGCCATCTCTCTCTCTCTCTCTCTCTCTCTCTCTCTCTGAGGTAAGAAATTCTCTCTTTGCAGAGTCTTTTTTCACAGAACACGGAAGTCAGTGGAGTCTTTGATAGAAAGAATGTGACTGGTGCTTGAATGGCACCAAGCATATGTCAAGTTGACGTTAAAAATGTTTGGAAGAATGTGTGAGTTGTCAGGCGAACACGGTACTTTGATGAACCAAAAAAGCATCGTTGGGGGGTGACCGGTGAGATCTACAGAGACTCCCCATTTAGTATTTACTCTCTCCCTCTCTCTCTCTGATCAGCAGATTCCAAGTAAAAAGCACGGAAAAGAAAAGAAATTGGCCGTGCTCTCTCTTTTCCAGCTTTTACTGCGTGTCAGAGAGAAAGTCAACCGGATAAAGTGGTTTTTGTCTGGAGACATGTTTGAAAATTCAATTCAAACATGATGAATCATGATAAGGTGATAATGTCATCTCTGGAACCGTGAGTGAAGGAGTGAGTATGTATGCATCGGATTCGGTGGTCCAGAGGCTGATCGATGATGGGTCGGGTCAGCTTCCCAGTTCAGTACAGTGAAGGCTTCGCTGGGAAGGTTCGTGGACAGGACTTGGCCCACTTTCTAAGTGTCAACACATGGGGCATTTCATAGGAGCAGTCAAGAGCCACTGTGCAGAAGGAAAAATCCGTTGCAAATTCAGCAACAGACAGGCCGAATTAATGCGAGGAAGGCGTCAACACTCTTCACGGGACAGCAAGTCTTGCATAGACAGAGATGCTGGGATCTCATCACGGGGCATAGATCAAAAGGCAAATGGATTGTGTTTGGCGAGCACCAAGCGTCCTCGCTGCCCCATTCTCTAGGACATGAATCTATTGTTCGCGAGAGGCGTCGCTCCTGTTTTCCCAGTAAACCGATGATGACATGTGTATGTATGTATGTGACCTTCCACATCTGTACTGCTGAAATGAATTCTGAGACTGTATATAATGGAAGGAGTTTGGACCTGACGTTGTTTTCTTTCCAAGAGATGTGGCTAATGCAAGTAGGGACCAGTTCTTCAAGTTAATCACTTTTAATCAGTCTCTGTTAGGTTTCCATTGATTAGTTTCGTTTTGTATTTCCACATAGCTAAAATTCTTCTTTTGCTATTTGTCCATGTTTGCTTCATTTTGCGTAATTTTGGAGGTTATGAGCATCTTCTCAAGGGACCTGTCCATGTTTGTGAACAACTACATAATTAGAGCAAATCTTCCACAGCACTAATAGTGTGTGCCGCGTGTGCGTGTCTATACACACACACACACACACACACACACACACACACACACATATATATATATATATATATATATATATATATATATATATATATATATATATTTTTTTTTTTTTTCTCTGTTGAAAAAACGGCCTCCTATACATGCTGATAAACAAAATGACACCAGCAAAGAAAAATAATTAATCATCTATTTGGATATTTGCACTGACAATCGCCAGTAATTCTTGAAACATGTGATATAGTTACAACTCCTCTTGTGCTATCAGATTTCCAAGAATGAACTTACGGTCTTGAAACCATGATTTTCTGGAAGAGGTCCATTTCCTGGTCGGACTGAGATCAGCACCTCCAAACCTATAGCAGCATTTACAGTCGATGGAGTACCAATTGAGAAAGAACATGCCAACAGCAACAGGAAAGATTTCGTCATAGCGATTAAATAAACCCATAACCAATGCAAAGATATCAAAGCAAAGTGCCAGAGCATTTTTGGGCGGACAATAAAGTGAGTGCGTAAAGGAAACCAGACTGCACGTACAGCTAATCATGGACCAGAATGCCGTGAGAATGTAAAAGGTTTGCCAGGTTATGCTCTAAATCTCCACAAACAGGTTGATAGGTTTTAGAAGTGCAACTGTGTATACCTCAGTTTTTCAAAATTATATGACATTTGACGGTGAAAACCAATTGAAGCCTCAAAAGGAGAAGGTAACATGTACTTGAGTGATTGTAAACAAGAATAGAGAGTAAGATCTTTTTCACAACCTAAAAGTTCAAAGCTAGATCTTCCACAAAAAAAGGTTGTAAGGAGCAAAAGTCACTTTGAAGGAGACGTTCTTTCTTGTTCCTCCTAAAGGTAAGCAACAGTTTCTTCAGGTGTGTTCAACTGGGACTCGTACTTTAATTCGGAAATCGCATGCCATCACAAGGTTTCAAAAGACTAATCATACTACCCAGTTGATTGCTCAAGTCTGTTCTAGTGATTAAAAAGCAGAAGATGAAGGATTAATTTAATTTCCTTGACTATGTTCACCTTTCGGACATCTTAGAAACTCTTATGCAATGTTTGGAAATCAAGGAGGGAGAGAAAATTTCCCCCAGTATTCTTCTCATAATAATTTCAAAATTTCTCCAATTTTACACACCCACTTTCAGTCCTCTCATTTTCCTCCTTTTTCCAAACAGAGCCTTCATGAAAAGATCAAGGATTGATTCCAAGCACTAAAGAGAAAAGATGACAATCGGAGGCAAATGCAAATGGTGTTGTCAGAAATTGCAAGAAAGGGTGACACTAAATGCAGCTAATTACCTGCATCCTTGGCAGCAACAGCTTCTTGATAGACATCCGTAAGAAATAATACATCCGAAGGCTTATTAACTCCCAATGACTCTGAGATCTCAATGTAACTTTGTGTTTCCTTCTTATTCCTGCACAGAGAGAGAGAGAGAGAGAGAGTCCGATTTATATATAGTATACTTGAAAGCTGTTAAAGAGAGTAATGGTCAAGCTACAAGATTACCCAACATTGGTGTCAAAAAATCCACACAAGTACTTTCTTAAATCACCATAATTTGTTTTGCCAAATATAAGCCTTTGTGCCAACCTGCTACCACTGGAATATATATAAACCTGTTGCACAATAAATAACATACCTAATAAAGCTCACAAGCTGACAACTCTGTGTGTGTGTGTGTGTGTGTGTGTGTGTGTGTGTGTGTGTGTGTGTGTGTGTGTGTGTGTGTGTGTGTGTGTGTGTGTGTGTGTTGGGGGGTGTTGTGGTTCGTGTGTGTGTGTGTGTGTCAGGGAGAGAGAGAGAAGCTTGATAATTTTTCAAACATCAAATTAGAACTGCTAATTACTTTGTATGACATTGCTTAAGTCATCTGAAATTTCAAAAAGTACTACCAATTTGCTTCTGTTTTATGTATGCAACAGGTCGTACCCGGGACCTCACTGGCTATAGACGGGCTATAGCATCTATAACAGAATTACTTCTTCGACACCCTCGCCTCACAGTTAAACATATAAATCAGAAAATAAGTTCATATTTAACTGCTTGCAGATGAAACTATATGGTAGAGTCCTCCAACAAAGTGATGTCATGGGAACATAAAGCAAAAGCCCTTCCTAACATTAATGACGACATTGATACAATCTACAGATCTGAAGTAACTTTATCCATTTGACTTAAGAAACATAGCCACACTAAAAATTAACATGTTCTATTTTCTTCGCTTATTGTATTTTAAATGCCATCCTGTAAACTAAGCGTGTCCATGAAAGTAAGACGAATAAAACACATGAGCATTTTCTACGGAATAGCCCTGACTTTCTTTCTTAGAAGGGCTTTGCGAGAAAGAGACGGAAACAGAGATTTGACTTGTTAACCAAAAAGAAACCTTTATGCCCAAACTGTGCCAATTCATGAGAGCCTTTGGTACGTCCTCGAAAACCACTCCCTCCAATTCATTGTTCTCAAAGCCTGTCTGCCAAATATGACCCTGCATGGAAAAGTGTTAGCTATGTAGGGCCAGTTAGGCTTGCCTCCACTTTAGCACACGTCTAGAAGTTTGTCATTCCTACTTGCAATTGCTTTAAGGCAGTGATCTTGCGATCAGCTTTTATCATAGCTTCCACATTAGCAACTAAAGCTGCCATGACCTGTTCGTTCCCTGCCTCATCAGCTGGGATGGGCACAGCACCTTGAACACCTTGTTTTAAATCATCTTCAACCTACAAGGTAAACAAAAGAATCTGGGAATAAAGAGAGAAATATTGAGGCTCCAATGGACTATTCAACAGCAAAACAGAGTTCCTCTCTTGATTTTAAAAATACTTTGGATTACAATTATTAATTGGTTATTCCAGAGGAAGGCCCATGGCATAAGATCATTTCACAATGGTGAGTAATCTTCTACTTGCACTCTCAGGTTCCACTTCTGTACTTCTACCACAAGCTTGTCAACCCCTATGATTTTACCAGCCAAATAATATGGTAATTATTTGAGCTCCACTTAAGTCTGACTTTGCATGAAGCAAAAGTCGAAACAGACATGCTTGCCAAATTGCTGTTAGAGTGGTTAATTGACATTTGCATAGTAACATCATCAATTGTTATGTATTCAAAACTTCAAGTGGCCTTTTTCTGTTTATCTTTATACGACGTGAAAGGATACCCTCTGTGAAAGTACCATAATTAACTCATTGTAGGCATAGTCATTCATTATCTAAGATGAGAGGAGCACAGGCTTCTGATCTCCATGACATCTAAACACAGATGCCTCTGACCATTGAGAAGAAGCAACCTTCACGCTATTGTTCATTGTACCTATTCAGATGTAAAGTGTATATCACGCCAGTCTCTAACTGTTTCAGACTTGTATAACAAAAGTTGCACAATCAACTTTAACACGAGTCAAAGCCAGAGACTTGAGTTCGACTCTCACACCTTCCTTTCACCCATTCAGGAATTGTCCTTCTTTGCATGCTTGGATTTCAATATTTTATGAACCCACACGTATCGACTTTGAATGCTTCAACTATTTGTTATCCTACCGATCTTCGCATGAGGGGTTAAACAATAAAATATGTGCCGAGCCATTCTATAACAGTTTAACTTTTAGAACAAACAGTTGCACACTCGAGTTTATAAACAGTTCCTAAATGTCCACTTTTCAGCACAGAGAGTATTTCCTTTTCTTTCCTTTCTTTTCTCTCTGCTCTTTACTGTCAGTTGATGAATGTTTATTCTCCTCTGCGCAATTTGAGACAAGGATCAAGGTGCTTCCACGGGCACTGAGGCCACAGTAAGATAGCCAGAGGCAAATTGCATTACCCATCCTAATGGGGGATAGAAGCAAGATATAAACAAGGTTTACAGAAGCACATATAATCCAAGAGAAGAATATCCTAAAAGATTGTCGTAGAAACTGGGAGAAAAGCCCAATTGCCAAAGCAACTCAAACAATATTCAATATCTAAACCATTCATGCCAATCTACATTGCTCTAGTGCTTTTACCAACCGTTGTTTAAAGTTGTCCCCCATCATCTAGACCACTGAGAATGGTATGAGAAACTATCCACTGCTGAATGATCCACAGGATTCATCATTTCAAAATGTGAGAGAAAATTCCCCTCAGCAGCAGAAAAGGTAAAGCAGCAACTAAAAGTTGAAACCATCTTGCAGACAAGTAATGTAAGCAAACCAAAAATTGTGAAATGAGCATCTTACCTGGGAACGAAGTAACTTAATGTCATCGCGAGTCTCTGGAGTTTCAAATGTCGCAGACAAATGTCTCCCAACATTATCCCGAGCATATGGGAAGAGAACATCAGTGACAAACGATATTGGCGTGGTGGTCCCCTCAATGTCTAGAACAACGCAGCGCTGCAAGCAAAAGAGCTGTTAAAAATATTTCTACAATTTTCCCAATCAAGGAATATTTGCAGAAACAAAAATTCATACAAAGTCATGCCAATCAAGGAATAATAGGTGTACGAGGATATATGGCGAGCGATGCAATTTTCCAAATCAGAGAAAGAAATGATTATTATCTTCACTGAAAGAAGTTACAACTTGATGCAAAATCCAACAAATTAATAAAAGAGAAGGAAGACATACTGGCAATGGATCAGTGGGGTTATCTGAATAAAGAGCCCCAGCCTTCACGTATGTGCTTATATTTGCATAATTTGCGACTCCTTTGCCAGTCTGCTGTAGACCAGGGTTTGGAGTCAAATTATTTGGGCCCAGATGTTGAAGTTCAAGAGCATCATTAAAGAGGAAAAGGTACCCCTGGGCCTGAAAGATATTAGCTACGGAATTGAAGTAACAAAAAGTTTCACAAGCTTTATGGGCAAGTTAATGGATGAGAGAACACGACAACCGGAGGTATACATAAAATCTTCTCCCATGCTCACCAATAAATCAATATTTTGCATTCATTTCATGTGTGACATCACTGCAAAGATATGTACAAACAAACAACAGAAAAGAGAGGTAGCAGAACTAATTTAGCAGGCAGGATAGGAAAAGCAGACAAGTATTCTATTCCTGCAGACAGTACAGTGATTGTATAGCATGGAAGCGTTAGAATTGATCATTGGATCCCGGCTAAACGCTAAGAGAAAATAACAAAAGGCCTTCTTTCATTACACATCAAAACAAGAAATTGAGAAAGTTCTTCGCTCTCGTCAATGCTTAGAGGTGGATTAACATTTCAAGAGGAAACTAAGATGTTTCATATGCCGGTAAACATCTGTGAGATGATGGTTGAGCGCTGATTTGACAAAAGTCCCGAAGCATTCCTAGTTTCTCATAAGTGAGGATAATGACCTTGAGATGTGAAAGAACAAATTCTCAGCTCCAAATAATGATAAGAATGGCCGTAATGTCCATGTCTTGGTCTCAGAAATTTTACGCGATAACTACCTTCGTGGAAAAAGGAAGGCAACTCATACACCTGGGAGGTTTACTAGAGTACGGCTTAGGAGACGGCAAAGGCGGGATCGATCCATTAGCAGGCAATCCATACATGTACTCCGGCATTATTCTCTCCTTCCGAACACCTAAGGAAATACAGACACGCAAAACAAACAGTAAAATTAAGAATGCATAAAACCATATCTCACTCATTGTAAGCATACAAGCAGAATCAAAACACGCATAGAGACCAAATTAAGCTTCCATAGTTACAGCAAGCACTCCAAATATTAACAACGAATAACATGTATCCAAACCAAAGGACTTGATTTCGATACATCCTTCGTCGGTATTCCTTCTTTATACGTCCAGGATTGTAACCGTTCCTTCACTTAGACGCATTCTATTCACTTGCTTCAAGCTTCCATCGACGTCAATCCTCCTGTCACATTTGGGTATACAAAATAAAATTCGCACTACAAACGACTACGCTCTCCACTTCAACGACAATCATCAGTCGCCAAACGTAATCAGCTCCGAAAGTGAGACAACTACAAGCGGGTATGGAGCAAAATACTAGGGGGGAAGTAATCTGAACGAGCAGATTAGGGAAAAATACCAGAACGACGTCCCATGGCAATGAGGCGGTTCGACCTCGGAATGGAGTCGCGGCGAACCTCAACGGCGATGCTTCCGCCGCTGCTCGACGCCCATCCAAGGGTGCAGAATCGGCGGCAGAGCTCCGACGTCAGAATCCTGGTCTTCGTCGGTGCTTTACTCTCCAGGTACCCCCGAGACGCTCGTCCGGCCATCGCTCCGTTCAGCGCCACCACCGGTGAACTCGCCATTGCCGTTCTCTAGAGAGAGAGAGAGAGAGAGAGAGAGAGGAGGAGGAGAGCGAGTGTTAGGATGAAACCGAGGATGCTTCGCTCGTTCGGTGGTGCTTTCATCGATAGTTGCAGTACGCCATTGCCGTACGCTTGTGTTGCGACTGAAGCTCGAAGTCGGGGCGGAGGAAGAGCGGCGAGGAAGATGAAGCCGAGCCAACGTGCCCGGTTTGGTTGGGCCAAGTGGACCGGTTCATTTTTTATTTTTTTTTATCGAAAACCGGTTCATTTATCCACTCGGAAAAATGGAGATTTCCGTGGGAAAAAGGCAAAACATATAATAATTTCATTGAAAAGCCGACGAAATACCTTTAAAAAGTAGGGACGGATGGATATGGGTCTACGTTGATTTTGGAGAACAAAGTAAATGACAAGAAATTATAAAGGCACGAACACCAATAACAATCATTGACAGCAATGTAAATTGTAAAATTGTAATGATAAAGATAATTTTATAATAAACGTTGAATTTTGTAATTGATTGACACGTAATATTGACTTGGAAGGACGAGGACTACTTGACCCATAAGCCTAATAATGTTGCTTCTTATTTTGTTAATTTTGTGGAAAATATAATATTTCTAGAGACAGACCGTTCGAAACTTAGTAATTTGCGTATAGGCAGCTAAGGAATCGGGTACGAGCATTAGAGTCTTTGGTTTGGCCTCGATGGACCCTGACTAGGGCGTTGGGGATCGGGGCACGGATGCCCGAGTCTCGGGCCAAGCCTTGATGGATCCAAGCATGGCCTTTGTGGACCTAGGCATGGCTTTTGTGAACTCGAGCTCGAGTGTTGGGGATTCGAGCTCAAGTACCAAGATCTCACTCTTGGCCTTTATGGTCCTGGGGCCGGGTGTTGGGGCATCGAGCATGGGCATCAAGGCTTTAGGCTCAGCCTCGATGAACCCGGTGCGGGCGTAGGCGATCCGGGGTACGGGCACCTATATCCCGAGCTTGGCCTCAGTGGAGCTAGGCACGGGCGCTAGGATCTGGGCACTGACACTAGGGTCATGGCCCTACATCGACGGACCTGGGCTTGAGCGCCAGAGACCTAGTCCCGAGGGCCGAGAACCAGCATTAGGATTTTCATGCCCAAGCGTAGAGATTTTAGGTGAAGCGTTGATATTTAGTCATATTTTGGAAAATGACTTCCGAATTTTTATAAGAGAAAATCATTTTCCTGAATTTAAATATAGATTTTCCGTTGACTCGTTTTCCTTAGCAAACCAAATGTCGAAAAATGAGCAAAATATTTTCCACAAACAAACGGAGCCTTAGTGACACAAATACTTCACTTAGGCCTTGTTTTTTTCACAAAAAAAGAATAATTTGGAAAACACAAAATTTAATGAAATTTTTTTTCATTGACTAATTTTTTTAAGCGATACAAACGATCATTTTCAATTGTATATGTCGTCCATCCATGTTTTTGTGGTTGAATCGAATGAATTATATGACATCACCCTTTGTAATAATTGAGGACCAAAAGAATTATATATGGGTTTTGTTCTGCCACGAATGCAATGGATGGGGATTGTGATGGTCCCCAATACGAACATGCGACCAAAATGGGAGCGATGAAAAGGGATGGGAGGGAAGGTGATAAACGACAGCGTATGGGCTTTATGGAGGTAGGAGTGAAGAAGGATTGATTAGATTGAATGGTTCCTTAGGCAAATCTAACACAGCCTATGAATCATGAAATAGAGATCTATTGTTGGTGTGAGTCGATTAATATATTTGGTCAAACAATGTTGTCCACAACGGTCGACCATTGGGGCAAAGCATCCATTGAATGGTGTGCATTGGAGGTGTATTAATGGTGTATTTCAAAGCATTCATTGAAATATAGTATTCATTTCATGTAATAAATTCATGGAAAATATTGGGAGCGTTTCTCAATTTTCACAACTTTATCACTTTAAAATCACATATTTACACCTTAAGTTCTGCCGGATTGTGCATCTATACAATGCTAATCCACGAAATTTTAACTCTAATTCTTAACTTAGCCACCATAATATTTCCGCACCGCCACCTATTGTAGTGGCCCTCAAGCCACTTGCCCCTGCCATTAAGGAAGGATCAATAGCTAGTGAGGAACCACATCTGTGCACACCTCAACCTTCATGGCATTGCAACCTCAAATTAAGGTCGTGGATGGATGCTACGGATGACCTTGTCGAAGTTGCCATCGGCCATGATGACCATGAATTGAGTCGTCGATGGCATCACTACCTTAGTTTAAGGTCGCGACGGCCATGGGAAGGGGGAGAGAAAGAGATGGTTAGAGGTGTTGGGAGCGCACGGCAGAACCCAGTGCCTTTATCTAGGGAAGCCAAAAAAGAGCCAAAGTCCGAGCCTGTCATTATATTCAGCACAAGTCCGATCCCTTCACTTGCAAATATTGCCAAGAGAAAACCCAAATTCAAACCTCTCGACATATCTAGTTGAATTCATTCTCACTTAAAAGCTTAAATCAATAACTTATGAATTAATTATGATATATTAACAACTTTACACCACGTTAATTCGTTGATGTGAGATTTTTTCCAACACAACTCCACGTGATTTGGAATGGAACAAAAAATGGCCCAGTTTAGATGGATTTGAAATCTAATTCAAACCCAATAGTTATTAATTTCTACTATCTTATGGGAGAATTTTTAACAACTATTATAGAAACATTCGTCAATTAGCACTATATACTAGTGGATAATGGACTCAACTTAAAGTCGAACCGGACTAGCCGGTTCTTGGACTCGGATGAGACCATAGTCCGAGGTCTCTCATCCATTTAAATTACCCCCTAACCTCTTCTACATCGGTTGCATTAAGCATTCCTTTTAACGTAAACGTGCTACTCAACAATTATGTTCCTTCTTTTTTGTAGAAAATGGATGATTCAAAAAACACTTACCTAAAATCACTTGTATTGGTCGAAATAATTAATCAATGAAATTTTTTTTCATTATTGATAACAATTTATATTTCGATATTTTCGTGGATGATAACATTATTATTTTTTTGTTCATTTTTGTATGCAAGACAAACGATCATTTTAAGCAAAATGTTTGCAAAAACATTTGTTTTCGGGACACAAATCGAAGCCTACATCATAAAATTTTTCCGTAAATTTCCAACCCGGCAGTTCAACTGGCGAACCGGTTGACTCACGAAATGAAATCCACGCCGGTTTTTAAACCGGTCCGGAGGTAAAGATTTTAGGGAAAATGATACAAATAGTCCCTAAACTTTGACCCAATGTGCAATTTGATCCCTGAACTTTTAATTTGTTCAATGTAGTCCCTGAACTTTAACCTAATATTCAATTTGGTCCCTAAACTTTTGATTTGTTCAATGTGGTCCATGAACTTTTAATATGTGTTCAATTTAGTCCTTGAACTATTTGAAAGTGTTCAATATAGTCCTTCCATTAATTCAAGTGCAGGGACTATATTGAATATTTTCATATAGTTCAGGGACTAAATTGAACACATATTAAAAGTTCAGGGACCACATTGAACAAATTAAAAGTTCAAGGACCAAATTGAACATTATGTTAAAGTTTATGGACTATATTGAACAAATTAAAAGTTCAGAGATTAAATTGCACGTTAAGTCAAAGTTCAGGGACTATTTGTGTCGTTATCCCAAGATTTTAAAGAATTCAAGAAAAAAAAATCGACTTTTGAAATCAAGCAGTCGCCGCGAGCTCCCACTGAGAGAGAACACCGTCACAGACTCGCCGAGAGCGGGAAAGTTGGAAGTTTCGAAGACGACCCCAACGTCGCGAGCGGCGATCCTCTGAGCTCCGACCACCGCCATGGAAGAAACCCTATCGCGAATCATCACCGACCTGGAAGAGCCCCACGTACCTCCGACCACCACCTCCTCCTCCCTCCTCCTCCAGCAGCCACCGCCGCTGTCCGAATCGACGCTCTCGGACCTGCACCGCCTCGTCGGCGCGGACGATCCGGAGCTCCTCGACCGGTTCTTCGAGGACCTCGCCTCGAGGAACCTCCCTCTGTCTTCCCTCGCGCGGCGCATCGGTTCGACCATGGGCTCAGGTAGCACCCCTCGCCTCTCTCTCCTAGCGTCGGACGTTTATCTGTCTCTGCTTCTGTCGCCGAATGCTCCCGTCTTGAGCCTCTTCGCTCCGATGGCATTTGTCTCTCTTCTGCAATCCGTTCGGAAGTCCGTCAAGTCTCGGCAGGGGATTCCCGAGAAAGATTCTGGGAGTGGCGCGAGAGCTCCGGCTAAGCCGAAGAGGAAAGGAGGGAGGCGTGGCCCGGCATCTAGGAATTTGAGCCACGCTGGTAATGATGATGTTGAGGAGACTGAGATTGACGTGAGGCTTTTCTTCGATGTGTTGGAGAAGCTGGTTTTGGTGATGGATTTGATTCATTTGGATAGATTTCCAGATAGTTTGAAGTCTTTAGTACACACAGTAGCTGAACTTCCAACAATGGTGCCTGACTCTTTCTGCAACTCGAGTGTATATTGCAAGCTGACTAACTTGTGTTCGCAGCTCTTAAGGGCAGCGTTGAGGCCTGAGCATGGAGAACAGGCTAATTCTGCTGCAGAGATTTTGAAATCTTTGTCTCCATTGATCTTGTTAGCTAAATCAGAAGTGAGGACGTTTGCTTTGAGTTTTGTGACTAATTGTATGGTAGAAGCGGGGAAAGAGTGGGAAGGCCTAAGGAAAGCTGTGGTAAATTTGCCGAAATATCTGGTCCAGAAGGCCCCAGAGAAGTCCGAGTTTCGTGCCTCGGCAGTGGACTCAATAATGGAGATATTTAGAGCTCTGGAACATGGTGATCAGGTCAGCTTTGTGGAATATGTGGTGAAGATGACAGAAGGTAAAAGTAGTTTCAGGCTCTTGGCTGTTGATCTTATTCTCCCAATTGTGATGTTATTGAAGGATACACTTGGTGTTCGAGCGAATGAAGTGAATGATTCGTGGGGGTTGAGATGTTTGCAAGCCTTGATTAAGCGCTGTTCCGATTCGAACGCTGCTATTAGAGCACGCGCTTTATCAAATCTAGTTCAATTGGTAGGGTCTTTTGCACATGATGATAGGAGTTGCAAGATTCTGAAGGAAGTACTGGGGATTGGAGAAGGAGTTGGTCAGAAAACAGAGGCCACTATAAATAATCTTTTGAAGATTCGGTGTCTGGATGAGAAGGCAGCAGTCAGGAAGGCTGCACTTCATCTGCTCACCAAGTTGACATCTTTTTTCAGTGGTTCTATTGATGGAGTTTTGGTAAAGACAATGGGTATGGCTTGTTCTGATCCGCTTGTCAGTATAAGGAAAGCAGCAGTATCAGCCCTCTCTGAGGTCAGATTGTGTGGCCTTACCTTGTGATTTTTTGTCATAAATTCATTTTTGAGCAATTTATTTTGGGCTTATTATATTGACTGGTGAATACACGTGGTTTAGGCGGTTTGATATTCTTGATTTCCATTTCTCCCAATTTACCATGGTCTTTAGGAATCCCGGTCAATTTCTGATGCATAAGCTCACTATTGACATACACAAAACTTCTTGAATGTGAGATATCACCATTAGTCTGATGAAAAGCCTTAAGCTGGTTTGACAAATTTCCTTTTACATTCCTAGCTGGTGAGCATGAGACCATTTACTTGAAGTATTCCTGCAAGAGATCAATGAAGCAACGAGTTACTTTTTTGTTTGCAGGGGAGAAGGATGAAATGGACCATTAACGTTAACATTTTTGTATTGTGGCTAGTTGGTCTGGTCATTTGATTGTACTTTCCGTCTTACTGTGTCTTTTTGGTGGTCAATGCTTTTACATTCTTTTGTCTATCTCTATCGATGCGGGTGTAATACTTTGTCAGAATCTAATAATTTCTAACGTTATATCTTTCAGTGCAAGATCAAGTAGCTGACACATGATTAGTATGATTGCATGTCTGCCTCATGCAATAATCTCTAAAGTCCTCCACGACTACTCTTAGTTCCCCAATTATGGATCTTTATTAGATTGAGTTGCTGTGAATAATTCGATGAAGGACATTATATAAGAATGGAGAATCAAATATGCATATTTCTGTTATATGACAATTAAACTGTAAATTTAGTATAGCATTTTTCATAGGACCTCATGCTTTCGCAATTAACAAGCTTAAAATGTTATTTGTCTCTTAGCATTTTGATTTTAAACACATCATCGGCTCCCGAGTTTCTGTTGCAGCACATGATCTTACGTGAATCTCTTCCGTTGCTCTCTAGGCCTTCAGGAAATTTCCAGATGGAATTGTAGCAACTGAGTGGTTGCATTCTGTCCCTCGCTTAATAAGTGACAATGAATCAAGCATCCAGGAGGAATGTGAGAACTTGTTCCTAGAACTGGTTTTAGAAAAGATATCAAGAGCAGGATCAGCTGGTTCTTCTCATAATTACTCTGCTCCATATAAGTTGCACGACAAGGAAAGGGATTTTGAAAGGCAGATTGACTTACTATTTCCAGATGGAGCATTGGCTCTTTTGCGAGAGATTTGCAACGGTGAAGTAGTGCCTTGGATAAAGAAGATCTGCAAAAGTCTTGGCAAGAAAAATCGGCTTAGGCCTGTAGTAGCTACAGCTCTTCAGAATATGATTAGAGCGTCAGAGTCTCTATGGTTAAGTCAGTCGCTGCCAATTGAAAAGTGGACAGCTCCACAAGGTGCGTGGTTTCTTCTATCAGAGGTGTCAGCATTCCTTCCGAATGCTGTTGACTGGGAATTCCTCCATCATCACTGGCAACTCCTCGACAAAACTAGATTGGGATGTGAGATAAAGACTCCACTTACCCAAGGAGATTGGCATGAAGACAATGATGACGTGGAACCCTACTCTGTCACTTGGGCTGGTGATCGTGTTTTCCTCTTGCAAACAATGTCTAATATTTCTCTTGAGCTGCCTTCGGACCCTGCTGCAGACTTGGCTCATAATTTACTGAAACGAATTGAAGGATTTAATATGCACCCAACAGAGGTAAATAATCTTTCATCATCAATCATTTCAGGTCAATCACTCTTTGATTTTCTGCATGCTGGTTGTTTTCTCTACCATGTGGCCTAAGAAAGGGGACTGTGGGTAAATCTGTTTCATATGACCAGTGAATGAAGAACTCGTAAATCTCAGCGATGTGGAAATGCGGTAAATCTGTTATGAAGAACTCGTACATCTCAGCGATGCACTTAACGAGTCAATCATATGTTGTGGAACTTCAAGTAACGGAACTAATGTGGTCTCATCCGTGAGGCTCGTTTTGCATTTAAAATAAGATAAATTGAACAGGTTTCTCTTGATTTGATGGCTGTCTTTAGTTACCGATGTTTTTCATCTTACACAAGACATCAATTTCAAGGTCTTCCGCCTCGATACTAATCCATTTACCTTAAGTAACTTCCAATTGTTCTCTAATCATTGTTTCCAATGGCACATGGGATTAAAAAGAATGTCTCCTCTTGAGACCACATTTTCCAACAGCCATCATTAACGTGGCATGAGTCATGTTTTGCAATGAAAATCTTTCAAAACCAAGCGTGGAGCTTGCCTAATGAATTCATGAATGGGAAGGCACATTTATCTGAAATATTACTCATATTCACTAACGAATGCACATATGATATTAATGGGACTGTCTGGTTGCAGGTCAATGCTCATGTAAATGTTCTTAGAACGGTGTGCAAGCAGAAGGCTTTAAGTGTAGGAGAGGCTGACGCACTTATTCTAAGATGGGTAAGACAACTTCTCTCTAAAGCCACCCAAGTTATAGAAAAGTTCCTTTCTGAGAACACACAAGCAAATGAAGAAGGCAGCTTCTTCACACCTCCGAGAAGTGGGAATAGAAGAGGTAGAAGATCTATGACGACATCCGAATTACTGTCACAAGCAACAATTGCAGCTTATACAGTTGGTTCTTTAGTTATTGTTTGTCCTTCAGCAGACTTGAGCCAAGTGATCCCATTATTGCACAAGATCATTACTTCTGGAGATCGCCATCCAAAATCAAAGTTGTTACTGGCTCCTCAAGTTTCTCTGAAGCAGATAGCTGGATCATTGTATATACAGGGGTGGTTAACAATGGGAAAGATTTGCCTTGTAGATGGGAAAATTGCAAAGCGTTATATACCCCTGTTTGTGCAGGTAGTATGTGTTCCTTACTAAAAATCGGCTTACATTTTATTGGACTTTTGGGATATCATGTTCTGGTTTAGAAAGGAACAAGTTGGATGCATTTTACTCCGAAATTTTTGCTCCTTTTAGTACATTAGTTTCCTAATGTCATGAAGTAGCTTTTATTCTAAAAGGTGCAGTTTGGTATGGTTGCACTTTGCTATGATGCCCATTTAAGCGTCACTTCAAGATAAAAAAGTGCTTATATGTGGAGATTTTGTTTAGATTGCCTTGAATATACCCATTTAGATTACTTTCCTTTAGAGATTGAAAGGCCAAACTGCGAATTTTTTTTTGTGCTGCTGCTTTTGTTATTGTCTTTTAATTAAATGGGTTTCTGACAATATAAAAAAGTTTGAGGAAAGTTTTGGCGTTATATATTTTCTACTAGTATTGTTTGAACTGGACCAAATCTCCCAGCTGAAAGTTAGTTCATGTCTGCAAGACATTTATCGCAAGATATTGAAATTTATAGAAGCTACTGGTTAGGGAAATACCAATTTGATGCATGTTAAGACTTGGCTTTAGATGATTTGAGGATTAGAGATTAAATAAACGATCAAAAAGATTGAATTTTTTCTTGAAATTTTAAATGAATATGTGAAACCTTTGCTTGATATGCTTCCCGGCTTTCCCCTTGAACCCGGAGATCTGCTTTTTAGTTGACATATTGTGTTCCTGATCATGTTTTGTGGTGTTCAAGTTTGTCCCTAAAAGATCTTATTTGCGAGTTGGCTTTACCGATTTTTTTTTCTTGTTTATTGTGTTAACCATTTCCTAATGCTGCAGGAGCTTGAGAAAAGTGATTCTGCCGCTCTTAGGAACAATCTTGTTGTGATGATGGCGGATTTTTGCGTTCGTTACACTGCTTTAATTGATTGGTGAGTGCTAATTGTACTAGTTGTGATATTTGTCCCACATATGCGGAAGTGATAAGGATTCACTTGAAACTTGGAAAACTGTTCACATTACTAAAGCTTTATCTCTATACAGTCACATAGCAAAGATCACAAGGTGTCTGGGTGATCCGTGCGAACTTGTCAGGAGGCAGACTTTCATACTTCTGTCAAGATTGCTCCAGGTCTAGTTTTGCTTCTGGTATCACTGTTTATGATGTCATTTTTAGACAAAAGCTTTGCTTGTAGATGAAGATATACTCTTCCATTGATTGGTTGGCATAAATTACTTCAGAGGGACTATGTGAAATGGAGGGGAGTGCTCTTTCTTCGATTTCTTTTGTCTCTGGTGGATGAATCTGAAAAGATCAGAGAACTTGCTGATTTTCTCTTTGGAAATATTCTAAGAGGTAGTTTACAGTTATAAAGGTTGATCTTCAAAGAGCTGCTTATCAATCCTGTCCTTTTAAATATATGTTCTTCTCTCTTTGCAGTCAAAGCACCACTTTTAGCTTATAACAGTTTTGTGGAAGCAATTTTTGTTCTGAATGATTGCCGTGCACACGGTGGACATTGTAGTTCACAGAGTTCGCAGTCTGAGAGCCGGCTATTTTCCATAAGGTATGGATTACATATCTCAATTAAGAATGTTTACTGGAATTGAGATCTCATTCAAAGAGAAAATATAACGTGGTACCAAAAGAGATTGTTCATGAGGCTTAAAATTTCCAGGGGCATCGATGAAATTTCAAGGTCCAAGAGAATGCGCATTTACACTTGTTTGCTGAAACAAATGGCCCCCGAGCACTTGTTGGCCACATTTGCCAAGATTTGTGCAGAGATACTTGCAGCGGCATCTGATGGTATGCTCAATATCGAAGATGCTACTGGACAGTCAGTTCTACAGGTACTAAGCAATGCACATTAATATTGGTCAACAGTTTTGCATGGATAGCTGTAGAAAAGTGATATGGACTGTAATACACACGGAAGTATTTCTCCTTATCTTAGTAGATAGATGCAGGAAAAAAAAAAACGAATATATGTTCCCTGTTTGGAATTAAACATTGCAAATGTTATCTCCATAAGCCCAAAATAACACAGAAACTGTCCCTTTGCTTTACCATGGAAGGGAAAATGTGGTCTCTCTGTGAAATGCTTGCTGAACTTCATGTACTGTGTGATTCAAAGCATTGTGATTGAACTGGCACTTAGCAGTTGTCGAAGATATCTTCACCAATCACTGTTCTTTTGGTTTAATAGAACAGTAGTATTTGGCCCCGTAAGCTTATCCTCAATGAATATCATAATGCTTCTTATGACCTGCATAAACTCATCATCTTTACGTGGATTTATGCGCCCTCAACTGAGGGAACAGGATGCTTTTCAGATTCTTGCTTGCAAGGAGATCCGCCTCCCGACAAGCCGGAATTCCACATTAGAGTCTCCCGAAATGGATGAAGAAAGCAATGGTTCTGGTGGAACATCGGCTGCGGCTGCTAAGGGACGGGTGATAAGTCAAGCAGTAAGAAAGAGCCTCATACAAAACACCATTCCCATTTTCATAGAGCTGAAGAGACTACTAGAGAGCAAGAACAGCCCCCTCACGGGTTCCCTCATGGATTGCCTCCGTCTCCTCCTCAAGGACTACAAGAATGAGATAGACGACATATTGGTTGCCGATAAGCAGCTCCAAAGAGAGCTCTTGTATGACATGCAGAAACATGAATCTGCAACGGCCAGATCAGAAGCTGCAGAGGCCGTTGCTGTAATGGAAAAATCAGGGAATAATCATACGCCTCAGGCTTCCAACGCTCCCAGGGGAATGTCACGCCAGAACAAGTCCTCTAACGAGTTGCAGAGCAATTCTAGAGTGGCTTCGGCTCTGGCAGACGCCGCAGCCGAGGCCACAGCGCGGTCTGTGCTCAGGGAAGTAAACAGAGGGACTTCCACGCCACCTCTGAGTTCTCTCAAAGTGCCCAAGGTCAGGTCTTGCAATGGAGCGACACGCAGTAGGGGCGCTCCAAGCAATCGTCCCCGAGAAGTACTGGAATCTTTGAGAAGGCAACCCTTTGGTTCTGATGACGAAGGTTAGAGCCCGCGAATGAATCATGTGCTGTTCTGCTTTACCTGAAAATGAAAGCCATTGTAAATTGTCTAGATGTGCAGTCTGTACCATGAGCAAGTTTGTAATGCGTCAATACATTCGTGGTGTCGTATTGGATTAAGCATAGGGTGTACTATGCATACTTTCAATTTTACAGCACCACTTTACACATTTTGGGAATGTTTATAGAATCGGCCGTGAACTTTGACTTCAATGTACAGTTTGTCTTACACTTTATTTGGGTCAAGTCGATTATTTTATGGCGTTCGATGCCGTGCTTTTGTAAGCATTCGAGTTGGTTTGGTAATTCAACTTCGTAGGTCTATATTTGATAGACCAAAACTCGAACTCAAGTCTCGTTCCGACCCCCTCTCTTGCTGTCAGGTTGAGTGCCTAATGGTCGATTAGTGTTACATCGGCAAAGAAGTCGCACGCGGAGAATACATCAAATTTTGGCTCGAATGGCTCTCCCTTCTCTCTCCTTTACTTGGTTCAACCATTGCGGATTCAATTGACAACCAAATCCACAACACTAAAACTATTTAGCAACTAGATCGACGACATCGGTGTGACCTATTTGTCATAAAGTATCACCAATCCCCCATTTCCCCCATATCACTTTATAAAAACGTTGAATTCAATAAACGATTGGCACATAGTATTGACTTGGAAGGGCGAGGCCTACCTGACTTATAAGCCTAATAATGCTACTTCTTAGTGATACACTTTAAAATCACATATTTGCACCTTAAGTTATGCCGGATTGTGCATTTATCTATAACTTTGCCATTTCTCTTTTCAAAATCTTTTTTTCTATAACTATTTTTCACGTCCGATAATACAATGCTGATCCACGAAATATAAACTCTAATTATTAACTTAGCCACCACAATACGTCGGTACTACATGGTAAGTGCACGCGAAAATTCATATTAATTTTAGGTAAATTTATCGCAAATATATCATGACTCCAAAATTAATTTGGAGTTAAAATTTTAGTGACCCAAAAAATAATTTGGGTTAAATTTATCATAAATTTTTTTGTCTTGTTTTTTCGGGAGACTACTGATGATATCCGTTCGGGGTTTTTGGTTGCAAGACCGGAGGTTTACAAGCAATTGAGGATCGAGGATAACACTTGTTTATCTTCTTCCTTCTTCTCCTCGCACGACTCGCCACCGGTATCACCAGTTCAGACCTCTCACTCTCAATTCCTTGTGTTATCTCTTCTTCTTCTCCTCCAATGTCGAGAGGAACGGACCGGCTGATCAAGAGCGTGAAGCAGTTCGCGGACGGTCAGTACAAGGCCTTCGCCGCCCGCTACGGCCAGCAGCTGATCGACATCGCCGAGCTCCCCATCAAGGTCGTCCTCTCCCCTTTCACCCTCGCCTTCGACATCGCCGGCTCCGCTCCCCGCGGCTTCGGCGTCCCCGAGTTCATCTCCAAGCTCTCCTACGCCTCCATCTTCGTGAGTTTCTCCTCCCCCCCCACCTTCGGTAATCGAACTTGATAGATGATGTTGTCTGGTTTGAGTTCTCTCTATATAGTTTGATTAATTGTCTCGAGAGGCCGGCTTTTAAGTTCTTCTGAGGTCTGGAGCGTTAGTTACGTCGTAGGTGATTAAATGACAGTATAGACAAAACAAATTTCGGGAATTTCGCTTGTTTTTCTTGTTGTTTTCTCCTCCTGCTGAACTCGTATTGGATTCCTGTAAAGGTTGAACACTTGTGAAGTAGGTTGGCAATGTGCGTCGGCATTTACCGATAGAACAGGAGGGGTATTTGAGTTTGCTGCCTGAATTGTCTTTTGCTTAATGGGTTGTTCTAATGTTTGTCCATCAGAGCTCTTTATGCTTCATGCTACGTAATGATTCTCACCTTGGTCTTGCGTGGAGGCTGGTTATTATTTTTGCATTGTGTGTGTTGGAAATGGGGCTATGCACAATTATGTCTGCTTTTTCGGTTTCCATGCTGTACGGCAGGATCATATGTGTTGGACGCAATGCTTTCTTAGTAATTGAACTAGTCAGCAATGTGATCAATCGCTTGCTTGCCTGCATGAGACTTTAACGTGCACCATTTGAACCTTACATGTCGATGCTGCTGTTTATACACGAGCAGGCTGTCGCCACTCTTGGGACGTATGATATCGCGTTGGAGCTTGGAAAGAAGGTGATATGTCAGAGGTGCTTTCTTATTTCTTGTGGCTGCCTTTCTTGATTTTACATTCTCTCTTATTTTCATATCATACTGTGTTCTGGAGACTCTCGTTTACTCCCTGAGTTAATATTAGTTGAAATTAAATCAAAATTTTTCCCGGTGGTGGCTTGCCCCTAAGATATTCTGATCCAGGTTTTCAAAAAGCAGACTGAGCTCCACCTTTGCTCGGTTTAGGAATTAAACATTGTTTGAGGATGAAGAGATGTTTGGCATGGAAAGCACGTGATATATCTCTTATGAGTTGTAAACATGGACGAATTTTTTCTACCTCTCTTGGTACTTTCCATGCAAGTGCCAATCGACTAATCTGCTATATGAAGTGGCTTCTTCTACTCATATCTTAAATTATTATTTTGGATACTTCCTACAGTGTTGTCTTCTTTGGTAGCTAACTGCAATTGCTGCTCCTGGACTGGATTTCTGATACATGCAGGAATTGCAAAACCTGTAATGGATGGCAGGCACTGAGGTGTACCATGTGCAAAGGATCAGGAAAAGTGCACTATCAAGTGAATAACTACAGCTTGAAGAGGTACATGTGGGCTTAATGTCACTCTATAAGTGGTTACCATTATGTCTCTTTACAATTGACTGCATTCCCTTTCATTACAGTGAAATGATGATGCCGTTATTGATGGTTAAAAGGTTGTCAAATTGAGTGGAAAATACCAACCTCTCATGACCATGCGTTACACTTTTTTTTGTTTGATCTGCAATAATTTTTTGAGGAATTTGGTTGCATTCCTGCCCATTTTTCTTTTGCATTAAAGTTTATTACTGAAAGTCTCGTAGTGGCATTTTGTATGATATTTTGCCTGCCTGATGTGGGCATCATGACAACAAGTTCTTGTATCATGTTAGAGTGTGCACTTAATATTTATGTTTTTTTGCTTCAACTGAGGACCATTTCTAAAATTTACCTATCTTCTGAGACCGGAAATATATGGAGAGAGTATTTAGTTATCTCCAGAAAATATGCTGCATCTAACTGCCCTGGGATCTATTGGTCAGGCTTAGAACTTGCAAATTTGTGCTTAGAAGATGGTAGTGCCACTCTTCAATATAATGAAGTTTGGTAGGGATCACATACCATGAAGAAAATAAAAAAATTATTTCACTGTTCCTTAAATATCAAGAATATTTGTGTGCTGATGATGTCTCTATTATGTGATTAGATGTTTTCTTGTTCAACTTGCATGGTCTTAGTTTTGCTTGTCTGGTTATTGCTGGCACAAAGGTATATGATTTCAATTTTCCTGTTAAAAAAGTACTTTTGCGAGCGTATCTTTTTTCATTTCTCTGTGTGCCAACTGAATGAGCATGTTGGTCCTAGTATAATCAAAATTCCTTTTTTGAACATTGGGTGGTCATAATTATTGATCTGGCACTTTGGATGTTCAATATCTTTCTTCCTTCCCCTTATAACCATAAACATGAACTTTCATGCAGTGGAGAGAAAGCAACAGCTGAATGCATAGCTGACGCCATTGTTGATAATCGTGCTGAACTCGTTCACCTTCCTTCATCTGTTGATCTTCATTCACCTTTGCCATCTAAAGATTGCCCAACTTGCGATGGAACGGTGGGTCATTTACCTACTACTTATGGTTAAAGCAAAGAACTCTTGATTTTTCACGAGCAGTCATTTTTATTTAGATATGAGATTTTTATGTCGATATGAGGTTAACTGTCTCCTATATCTAGATGTACTTACCTCTGGGTATGATATTCTACAATCAAAAGGACATCATTCTCAATAAAAGAACCAAGTTTCGTGAGCTATATAGGTCTTAAATTTGAAGGAATCTGCACCATGCCTCAAATTTTCCTTTCAGATAGAGTGCTAGTAAGGAAAGGGTGGAGTATGCTTTATATGTCAGCCTTGCAAACATATTAACTGAAACCAGTCTGTCAAAGCATCATTTCTTTGTTTCCACATGTTGCAGGGAGTCATGGGCTGTCCAGAATGCAAGCACAAACTACAAGTCAGAATTTCTGCAGATGATGTGAGTTGCATTATAAATCTGTTATTCTGTCGCAAATCTTCAGAGGAATTTGTTATGTAGTGCTTACATTCACAATCTTTTGTTTTTGTAGATTATGGAGCCTCCATGGATAGCCTATAATGTCATGAGAAAAATGGACTATCCCTATGAGGCTAGTATATACTTACTGTCTTTTTCCCCTTTCAGATTCTTCACTCTCATTTAGTGATATCCATCTCATGGCACAAGATTTTCTGTTGTGAGTTCCCTTTCTCAATCTTACCTCCTTCTCTGCAGCACATAGTCCACAGTATGAAAGACCCGAGCATTGCTGCATTCTGGTTGATTACCTTCCCTCAAATTGTTGGTGGATTTGAATATGATGATGAAGTCAAACAGAAAATATGGTGGCAATACAAGGTTCTTATTCTGTTTGATTTGCTTAAGTTATTCCTTGTTCTAAAATCTAATAACCTATTGCCATCTGAGGCTATTTGAGGACTATGAATTAATATAACCATTAACGAACTGCTTGTTCTTTTGGTTTAGGAGTCCATGAGATATGATCAAATTCGAGATGCGATTGCTAATCGTAAACCTGGCTGGGAGCATATGCAGGAGGTAAGATGAAATGAGGACCACATTACATATGACAAACTTTTCTTCAGCTCAAAACTGATTACACTTGATAGTTCATAATTGTACTTTTCTTCATGATGCTAATGATCACCTGGTTGGATTTAGTCGGATTCTAACAATGTGGTTGTTGGCTAGTTGTTTGCTTTAGCTGCTGCTGTATTTGGCTTTAGTGTCAAACTGTGACTTGCGATTGTCAAAAGGTGTGTTATAGAGCACCAAAACCTTTTGTCTGACGATAGAGTATACCAAGAAGAATATGGGGTTCCCTTTAATTGTAGAACATTCCTTTGTTTGTTCCAAGAGAAAGTGATTTGTAAATAATTTGTTGGAGAAGTCAATATATGCAAAACCCCAAAACCACTTGGTGAGAATCATAATCAATATTTTATACATCTTGTAGTTCTTCTATCTCTCATTTATGAGTACCATCTTGGTAAATGGTGATGATTAACATAAACTTGTAAAAGTTTGGAGGACTGACATTGTAGGATGTATTTTACTGAAATCAAGATGTTCTGTGTTATTGCAGGCTTTAATTTCTATAGATCCAGTTCGTGCACGGGATGATCCTGTTGTCGTGAAAAATATTCCTTACTACAAAGCCAAGAAGGCTTTGGAAGCAGAAGTGATGAAACTCGATCCTCCTCCAAGGCCTCAAAATTGGGGTGTGAGTATCTTATATTTTATAGTGGATATTGTCATGAATTTGCAGAAATTTCCGTATTTGTTAAATTGCGTACTTCTTCCATCTTGTGTATTGCTCTTTGTTGGATTGCATCCCTCTTCTTGTTAGTATAAATTAACTGATCTAATATCCCTTCTATTAATTAACTTCTGTGTGGTGTAAATTTGTTTGCTTTGATGGTAGAACTAATTTCAGATAATGGCAGGAGCTAGAACTTCCACTCAATTCATCTTCTTGGAATGAAGAGGATCTGAAAAATCCCGATAAACTTTATGAGATGACCGTACTTCTTAATGCCCAAAGAGAGATTGCTGATAGAATCTTGGATGCACAATGGCAAAATAAATGGCGACAGGAAAAGGTTTGTTGACTCTGACAATTATTTCTGGGTCTTTTGACTATTTAGTGACTTCATGAGTTTAAGCTGACGGGAAGATGTTATTAATTTCTCAAATTGGATTTGCCACAAGCTCATCGATTCCGGAGTTACACCTTTAGTGAATGCTTTATCCTCATTTGATAAAAAATTTACATGCTGTACTCTTACCACCACGCCATCCATTGGATCCACACAGAATGATGTATTTTGATATGCAGCTGAATGAGATGTTGGAGGAGAAGGTGCGCCCTTACATTCAAGACATTGATAATGGTGTCCTATCTCGTCCTATCATATTACAATCAAAAGCGCAGGATCAGAAGGTTCTCTCTCCCTCCCTCTCTCTCTCTCTCTCAACATGTTTAGAGTGTGCACTGTCTTACTTGACTTGCGTTCGAATATTTGTTGCAGAGAAAGCCACGACAACGGAGATGGTGGTTCTTTTGAAGGACACTGTTTCAGCTATTTAACAATTCTGGATATTTAATTCTTGATGGGCAGCTTTGGTTGGACTGATGGTCTTCTACAAAAGCAATTTTCCTTTTTGCAACTTCTGCATGGTTTTCTTGCAGCTTCGCTCATTCTTTCCTTCTCTCTCTTTTTTTTTTCTGTTTGCTAATCGCGTGCAGAGTCACAAGTTAGAATGGATGACAGTTGAATATGCTCAATGTAATGGCATTCTAAGTCGCAGCCTTGGAACTTGCTAATCAAACACTAGTCTGAATTCTGATTAGTGTTCGATTCTCTTTTAGGATGGGTTCGGTGCATGTCACTAAGAGAGATGAAAAAGAGATCGACAGTTTTCATACGTCCCATTTTATCCGAACTCCGGATTATTCTTCTCTTAAGGGCGAAAGTCAGCGAGAATGTCGCATATTTCTCTCACCGAAGAGTTGCACCATAATGTGCCTTCAGGACTTGGATCACATGAACTACCATCTTCTCTTGAAATCAAGGTGATGGTGCCATTAGTCGGTGAACCTCTTGCTCAAGCTTGGGCCAGTGCTCTACGGCTCGCCTCCGAATTCATCATTCCTTCTCCATCTACGGATATACTATATGCCGTGGACTCCGCCTCCATGACCAAAGAGCCATCGGATGGTTTCTAATTGTGTTGTTCAAAAGTGAGCTTAAGAACGGGGTTATCGAACTGAATCGCCCGAGCGTTTTGTTTTCATGGTTGACTTCCACGTGGTAATACCTAAATTTCGGTTGATCCCAAAGCAATTATTACATGGCTTCTTAACATTTTTAGCTGTTTAAGATGACTGGAGCCCTCAAATTTTTAACACCAACTTTTAGGTGGATTGATTAATTGTTATACTTCAAAAAAATCAACACGAGTTATAACAAAACAGAAAAATGTCACAGGATGGTTAATCTAGCGTTTCCCTTCAGAATTTCTTCTCAAGTTAGCCTTATTCACTCATACTCACAAAAATCGTAGAGAGAAGCCCTAGAGAAAAAGCTTTGGATATCATATAACCGGTGAGATGATAAAAATGAGGGGATGATACCCTATTCGCTACTGTTGTAGATTGCCCCTTCGATCTAACTATGGATATTCCACAATTTATGTACATAAGGGAATTTTTTAGTATATATAAAAACAATCCAAAAATACTTAGAAGATTTGAGGGTCCCTTTTCTCCTTGGATCATCCATGTCCTTCCTGCATCGGAAACTTCCGAACCGTGACAATAAGCTAACACATGTTCCTCCAGAGACTCTGACTTGGTTTTTCCAGGCAAAAGAAAGAAAAAAAAAATTGAACAAAATAATCGTCCCACACATTCTGGCCCGCTTGAACATCTATCAGCTTTGGACATATGTCGACTGATGACATGTTTCTGATCAACGTGAAGATATATTTTATATATTTTACTATTGAAGAATGATGATAATAATTAACAGTATCCTCAACTTTAAAGAAAGAAAAGACACAAAACGCATCAACCTCATATCTCCTTGCCGACAGGTAGCATTGAATTTGGGTGCCCCATCCCGCCTCGACCGACCCCGTCCGCTGTTCACATGAAAGCAAAGGAGGATAAGGAAATTCAGCAGAATTTACGGACCCAATTGATGGAGCCAACAAAATCCACAGAACATAGTAAGCCAAAGGGATGCCATGAAAAATCCAAAATTAATATATTCATGATAAATTTCTTTCGAATTAATTTTTTTATCACCAAAAATCCTAAATTAGTACATCTGTGACGAAATTATCCCAAACTAATTTTTTGACCACCAAAAACTCGAAACTGGTACATTTATGATAACTTTACTCTTCATTAGTTTCCGTTAAATTGGATTAATACTACGAAAAACTAAAAACTGGTACATCTGTGATAAACGGATAGTAAAATCCCAAATTGGTACATCCGGTAACTGCCACATGTCATCCAATTCTGTAATTTGACGGTAAAATTTAACGAAAACTAACGGATGGTAAATTTTTCACAGATGTACTAGTTTGGTGTTTTTGTTGGTCAAAAAATTAATTTGAAGTAAATTTGTCATAGGTGTATCAGTGTGAGGTTTTTGATGATTAAAAAATTAATATTTTTCGCGGTATTAATCCTGAGCCAAAACTATCTAGAAAAAAATAAATTAATGAAATTAAGTGGGAACCCACAACAAAATTTCTCCACAATAAATTGGAATTTGAAAATCACTCGGCCATAAGAAACGACGTGAACATCAAGGCAAAAAACACCCATTACAGATTCCCATAGAAATCGTCAATTACTTATCGTTGTCAAAGTGACTCCTTTTCCCCTACTACACGAGAGGTGGTGCAACTGGCAAGTCGTAGCGAAGCAATCATGTCAATGTCTTATCTGATCTGATGGGTGTATAATGTCCACACACGTGGCTCTCATGTGAATGGAAACCCTAACTTCAATCACTTCTCGAATTGGACTAGTCAAGCAGATGATAGACCTTTAGCTCAAAAAAAAAAAAAAGCAGATGATTGACCATGTCGATAATGACGCCAAAGCAACACAAAGCGTTCTTGATTTGCACAGGGCAACAAGCGATGACTATGATTATGCCACATGGAATGAATCATGATGGTAGGCTTTTATTGATTCTGACATATCGAACGGAAATCCTTAGTACATATCATAGGATCCGAGAAATGATACTATATATATCATATATATTAAATTAAAATATACATAGGTCGGCGATTGCCGTATATCCGTGAAATTAGTTTGGATATATCGCATAATTCTCGCTCACAGAAATAATGATGATGTTTTGAAGGAAGACAACGATATCGTCAATCAATGGTGCAATGTAGCTGAGCAAAAAGAGAAATTTCAAATGAAAGACCGATACGTTGGGGTAGAGGCTATCTCCTTCCAAGCCCCATCTTTTCTAGGTTTAGCAAAAACCATCTCGAGTCTTTTCTTCTTACCCTCTTTTGCCATGCGTCAACTCCTTTTCATGTTGTCTTCAATTTGATGTGTGAACTCAAATTTAGGACCCTTCATTGCATGTGGCCATTCAAGGACAAGGATCAGGAGCACAAGATGAGAATTGTCAAATTGGTGCAATTGGACATTGATTAGGACATGGTCCCAGTCATCAGGACATCCTGGAAGGGCCAATTAGGCTCACCGACAGACTTCATTCTTGTGATCTGATTGTGGATGTGAATGGCTAGACTTGACACTTTCAAAGGGCCAAATTTCCAAAGAAAGTTTACTACTCCCCTTTTTTTTATATATATTTTTTGGTATATTTTGGAGACCCGGTCAAACAGACCACAAACCAAGTTTACTCAAAAAACGTGTAACAGTACACTCATTTCGTTTGATTTTTGGCACAAATCGCTTGTCTCGAGCGCGCGCGCGCGCACACATATATATATATATATATATAATATATTAGAGAGAGAGAAAGAGAGACTGTAAAGCTTACAATTATATGCTTTTAGTGAGGAACGTGGATTTTTTAGTTGAAGAGAACGAGTCGAAGGGGTTTGCCGAAAAATCTTAATTTAGTGAAGGATATGTTGATTTTACATGAAAGTTCCAAAGAATGAGACTTGCAAACTACAATAAACAAAAATCAAACAAAAAAATAAGTTTAACGGATAAATTTCATCCACAACCATTGAAGTTTAATAGATTATGCAATTAGATTTCTGAACTTTGATTTTAATCATCAGATGTATAAAATTTTCGATTTGTCTTGTAATTGATGCACTCTTTGAAACTCCGTCAATTTTCAGGCAGAACATTGACAGGGGGGACTCCCGTGGTAAAGACGTGTTGAGTAGAGATTTCGTGGCATGCCCATCCCATCAAAAGTTCATCCAAGAATTTGCCTGTGAAAATTGCAATGCACTAGGTCTAATTGAAATGAAGATTCAATAGTTTAATTATATACCGTGAATGGAAAAATACCTGAGTTAATCCTAACCCGCACCAGCCTCTTCGGTCCTTCCCTGCATGCTCTGTTAGGTTTTATTTTACTGATAGTTGGGACATAAGCTATGAATTTTTTACCTATTTATTTTACGAAGCTATGAATTTAAGCAGCACTTTTTCCATGATTAAGGCATTTCTGTTTTTTACTTCTTCTTTTTTTTTAGGACGGGTTGGTGTTTCTTTAAAGCAACTTTTAAAAGGCGGCCCCTACACAATGCGCTTGCAGTCATTTTTTTTTTTTTTGATAATGCGGAGCACTGGCCGCACTACAAGGGTCCGACCGGCCAGGCACCAATCGGAGAAGAGCTAATCTGACCCCACAAACTAGCCTCCATATAAGTCAAGAATATGATAAGACTACGCGACAGAGGGGCCACAAACTTGAGACCTGTGATCCCAAGTCCTGCACCCTTACCAACGCAGCCAACCTCCTTGGAGGCATTAATGAATTGTTGTTGAACTAAGCAAAGGGAAAACAACTAGACACGAAAGAAAACACATGGTAGATTTGTCGTCCCACTATCTATAGGCCGACAATCAACTTAGCTAACTCCTAAATAGAAGTGATTTATATATATATATAGACATAATATATATGAGAATATTCAAAGTTAATGAAAGTTGTGCTTTTGTCAATTCAATAGCAGAATAAACTTTTAAATAAAAAATTAGCATAAAATTTGATAAAACGTTTTATTTCTCTTTTTTGGCCGAAGTAAACCTCCTGCAATTTACCAATGATAAATTACTATACGCAGTCTCATGCATAATTGACGTATTTTGTTATAAGACCGCTTATGGAGAACATTTCTATCAATCTTTATCTTTAAAAATATATAAAATTAGAAAGAACGAGTAAAACGATAAGAAAGGAAATGCATGGTCCCGCATATGATCAATGACAACAGCTCCTTTATTTCCTATTAACAAACCTATGAAAAATTTTAATAAAGATACCCTCGAACAAATGAATCCAACATCTGCTCAAAACAAAAACCAACGTAAACACGATCAAATTCCGTCCCAGGTTTCTTTCTTTTTAATGTCTAAAGTTATATATTTATATCTAAATACTGCACTGTACTTCGTGCCTTAGTCTCCGTCAAATTTGCCCTAGAACCGTCATCAAGAATGCCAATGACCACATGCTGAGAGGATTCACCACATGTGCAGCTGACGGGCCCGGCGGAGGCGAGGTCACGTTCGCTGGGGCACCGGTTGGCGTCCCTGGTGGTGGAGACGGCTGAGCTGACCCTCCTGGAGTTGGCGAAGTGGTGGTCGGCGCCGGCGGCGACGCTCCCGGCGCCCCGGGCGCGGTTGGTCCTGATGCTGGAGCTGTTGCCGTTGGCGCAGATGACGGCGACATAGATGACGGTCCCATGGCCGGCGCATGTGCTGGAGTTGTAGCTGGCGATGTGGACGGGGACGGAGATGTCGCCGGAGTACTCGACCCTGGCGGTTCCGAACCTGGAGCGGCTGTCGGAGACGGCGACAGAGACGACGGTCCCATTGCCGGAGCATGTGATGGAGTTGTAGCTGGCGATGTTGAAGATGCCGGAGATGTCGCTGGAGCACTCGACCCTGGCGGTTCCGAACCTGGAGCGGCGGTCGGAGACGGCGACAGAGACGACGGTCCCATTGCTGGCGCATGTGTTGGAGTTGTAGCTGGCGATGTTGAAGATGCCGGAGATGTCGCCGGAGCACTCGACCCTGGCGGTTCCGAACCTGGAGCGGCGGTCGTAGACGGCGACAGAGACGACGGTCCCATCGCCGGCGCATGTGTTGGAGTTGTAGCTGGCGAAGTTGACGATGCCGGAGACGTCGCCGGAGCACTCGACCCTGGCGGTTTCGAACCCGGAGCTGCCGCCCCGGGAGCCGTCGACGGAGTCGGCGAAGAGCTCTGAGGAGGGAGAGCTTTAGGCGGGGGAACAGGAAGAGGGCGAGGCTTGAAGGCGAGGACGACGACGACCAGCTTCTGGCCGTTCTGACAGTTGCCGTCTTGGCCGCTGATGAAGTAGAAAGGACCGGACCGGTCGAACTGGAAGACGGTGTCGCCGTCGTCCCATTTCTTGATGGGGTTGTGGGTGTCGCACTTGTCGTAGCCGTCTTTGCTCACTAGCAGCACCGAGTCCCCTCCTTTCTTGTACTTGAAAACTGAGACATACCAAAAAAAAAAAAAAACACAAGGCAAAGAACATAAACATAAGACGCGATTCACCTTCATTCGTCGAGACTGATCGAGCCGAAGACTTACGGAGGGTGTCGTTGGTCAAGAACCGGTGCCGACCAGCCCACTGGTTGTAATCCTCCGCGGGATGAACCACCCAGCCATCTCTGCCTCCGACGCGGAACTGGCGAGCTTGGACTTGAACCAGAGACGACAGGGAGCAGACGATGATGAGGATGCAGGCGACAGAGAAAGAGGCGAGAGATTCGGGAAGGAGATTCATTGAGACGGTGGTGGAGAAGGAGAAGAAGAGGGACGGTGCAAATCCGAGCTCGAAAAGTAGATGAGAACCGTGCGAGGATGACTTCATATAAATGCTCGGAGAGATATTACCGTTGCGGTGCCCGAGAAGCAAATTTCGTGGGGTCGAGGTGGATGCTTGCCTTCGTACAGCCATTAACGCCGTCGTTCGTTTAATGTCCCCTGCCTCAGATGACAGTACCCACGTGGCGGAAAGTTACGTCCTCCTCAGCTCTGTTCATCCGAAGTTTTCACTTTCACCCGAGAACGAAGCTCGAGGGAGACAAAAGAAAAGAATGACATTATAGAGAATTTTACTCGTCTATTTCGGTGGAAAAGTCGAGCCTTCATTTTTCAGGCTATAATTAGCTAGAATTTGTTGAAGTTGATCTTGGGAGGAAGTAATCGTTGAAACGGTCGAATAAATCATAAATGTGAGGAGTGAGAAATCATGTTGAGGCCCCATATCCATCCTTGGGCCGGTCGGCAGAAAACTAAAGACGTGTTGTCATCGTGTCGTCGAAGTGGGAAAAAACAGAAAAAAGGAACGCTCGAGTCCGACACGGGAGACAAGGGCACCGCACGTCCCCGGAGAAAACTTGGGGTCCCCCCTTGCATGCAATTACGAGCGCGTGCCTCTCTGAATTCAGTGAAATATACATGCCCGAGAAAAAAAAATAAAATCCAGTAGTTTTTCCAATAATTTCATTTTTTTTTTGCCCCTGTTTCTTCGACACGATATGATATGCTTGGATCGACCATCTTCATGTGAAAAGCATGTAGAGAGTTCATGCCACGATACACAAGCTCACCGCAAGCCTCTGCATCGAACGAGAGGCTAGCTCGTGACTTCATTTATCGGCGAAGTATCGTGTTCTGAAATCTCGTATCGGATCGGAATGCTCTATTAAGTGAGCAGCTCCTTAATGATCGCCGCCTTATGTGGCCGTTCAGAGCTCTCCTTTCGGGGCTTAACCTACTTGGGATGGATTGAGCACTTATATAGATTGGTGTCGCGATAGGAACCCCTCCAATGGTCGTGTGGTCCTCGGATGGAGGATACCCATTACCCAATATGATGAGGACGTGCAGCGACCGCTGAGATGAGAGTGTTCAGACAAGGTAATGCGTCATGCAGACTATCGAATATGGGGTGCATCAATAGAACATATAAACCAAAACAGATGAGGGCTCGGAAGCCCTATTCTCAAATGGTCAATTGGTCACCATCCCGTACAGTCACTCACAGTATTCTCTTTAGAATCTACAAGATCTTGTGTGATATCCATGCAATCCGGTAGGTAGTGTGTGAAAAGGCAAGTGTCGATTTTCTTTTACTTTGGTACCATGTAAATGTGGCCCGAAAAGGCTAGTAAAAGATGGAAATGAAGCGTTCATTTGAACAATGTCCACGAACGGGTCAAGCATAGGCGAACCCAAGCCCAGCCCGCATGTGTACGGACATGGAATGGGCTTCCTTTTTATGGTCGAGAGATGATGGGCCGGGCTTCATCAATGATTATGAGACCTTGCAACTTACAAGGATAATGGTACGGACAGTTGAATCTAACGAAACCAAATTTATACTCCGTTTATTCCCATGAAAAATCGATGGTTAGGAAAATCTTTTCCTATTTTCAATCATTAATATCTCTTAAGAAAAGAGGTAATGGAAAATATTCTCATTATCAACAAAAATTTTGAGGAATGAGTCGTTAATAATAATAGTAGTATTCTTCATTGAGTCATTTTTATAAGTGATAACGACGATTAAAATTAGAAAAATATTTTTTAAATTATTGATTTTTGGCGAAACAAACAGAGTTTTAGATCGTTTCCATCGCAAAATTATTGTGTCGCTTGTCAAAAATGGGTGAACTTTATCGTTGGCCATTGACTTTTAGCGAATCTTCGACGGGTGGGGGGCTTCCCATTCCCATTTTTACTAAAACACACACCTTTCTAAGTTGATTCGCAAAAGTACCTTACCTTCTAAGGGTACGTTTGTTGCAGGGAAAGTATTTTTCGAGAATCCGTTTTTTAGACTTTCACCCGTTTGGTTCACAAAAAATGATTAGTCAACCGAAAATACTTTCCAGTCAAGGAAAACATTCATGTGTAAAATTTGGAAAGTGAATTCCCCAATCTAAGAAGGTGAAAACACTTTCCGGAATTGCTTCCCTTTACTTTTTTAATATTTTATTCTTTTCTTTCTTTTCTTCTTTTTTATTTTTAAAAATAAAATATTTAAAAATTCGAAATTTTTTTTACCTGAAATAAAATCATAGGATTGAAATCATTTTCCAAATAAGATCCAAACACCAGAAAATATTTTCGATCACATATCACCAAACAAAGGAAAACTAACTATTTTCCTGGAAAATGATTTTCCGAAAAACATTTTCTAAAAACGTTACATTTTCCGTGAAACAAACACACCCTAAGGCTTCATTCGTTTCGCGAACAATATGACATACAATATTTTTCATTGTTTGGTCGAAACTTGAAAATGAGCTAGAAAATATTTTCCGCTGTTTGGCATGGAAAATCTAATTTGATTTTTTGGAGAAAAAAATTATCAAAACATTCCAATTTTTTAATTATTTTTTTATTTTTATTTTTATTTTTATTTTTTTCTTTTTCTTTCTATCTCTACCGGTCGCCCGCGACGGTTGGCGAGGTAGATCGCATGTGGCCGGTCGCCGGACTTCACGGGCGACTGGCCACATGCAATCTACCTCGCCAGATCTGGTGAGGTTGAGCACGCCCAAGGCCGGCGAGCTCGACTCGCCCAATTCTGACGAATCTCGAGCTCGCCAGCCTCGAGAGAGCTCTACCTCGCCAGATCCGGCAAGCTTGAGACTCATCTATGGCCGATCGCTAGCCGTCGCTGTAGCTGGTGACCTGCCAAGGAAGAAGCAAAAAGAAAAACAAAGAAAAGAAAAAAGAAAAAAAGAACTAAAATTCGATTTTTAAAAAAATAAAAATAATTTAAATTTTAAAATTTTAAAAAATATTTCCATAAGAACAAACATTTCATTAATCAAGGACCCGAGCCCGAGCATTGAGGACTTGCGCATGGCTTTTGTGGACTCGGGCCTGAGTGCTGGAGACTAGAGCTCGAGCATTGGGGATCTGAGCTCGGCCTTTATGGACACAAGCTTGGGTGTTAGGGCATAGGGCACGGGCACCAGAGGTTCGGGCCCAACCTCGATGGACCCGAGCATGGGCGCTGGGGGCCCGGGCCTGAGCATCAAGGTCCCGAGCCCAGCCTCAATGAACCAAGTTCGGCCTTGATGGACCGGTGCCTGGGCGTCAGAGACATGGTCCCGACCTCGAGGGACCTAGGCCTAGCCTAGATGGACCCGGCCCGGGCGTTGGAGACTCGGGAACTAGTGTTGTGGTTCCCATGTTCAAACGGGTCCAAGCGCCAATATTTAGTCATAGTTCGAAAAATGTTTTCCGACTTGTTCAAAGAGAAAATCATTTTTCTGAATTTAAGCATAGATTTTCCAGTTGACCAGGAAAATATTTTCCGTTGACTCATCTTCCTAAGCGAATCGAACACCAAAAAATGTTTTCCGCGAAAAGAACGAACCCTAAATATTATTTTAACCATGCATCTACTAACACACACACTATACGTATGACAATGTCCATGTGATTCAGACCCTTTCGGAATCAAATCAACACGCACACAAAATAGTAAATTACAATATTACAGGATAAGTACCAGTGAGGACATTCTCAAGTTTATGAAATGCAAAAGGATTCACTTGCGAGGTTAAGAAATTTCAAACCATCTAATTTGGCTTATATTTGTGTTAATTTTAACAATAGGAGAACTTAACGAATTAGAATCTTTCTTAGGCTGGTAAATTGCTTCTAGCAACGTTCCTCAAATTGAATGATGTACGTTCGAAGTTGTAACATCTCTTAAGACGAAGTAATCCACGTTTAAACTAGTAATTTTCCTTGTAATCAGTAATCCGAAAGATTGTTAATTCTCGGATTATACTCACTCATAGCCCATTGCTACTAAAATCTAAATCGCAATAACATACCTTATCGCATCGTAGGTGCAAAACGATGCTCGTTAATTATATTCTATGTCCGTAAAGTAAGTTTCGGCTTTGTAAATTACCTTTAAGTTCGTAACTATCTATAAATAAAAATCATCTCACCGGTCATGAATTATCTTTTGGATCTATAAATTACCTACAACCAACCTAAATTTGGAATAACTTATTATAACCGAGAGACAGCACGGTCTGTGGATGAATAAGAATGTTTGTCAATGCGTGGCGGACTAAAAGTCTCTCGTGGCAGACAGGGACTGGGAATTGGACCTATCTTTTTCCCAGTAAATGGACAACCAAAATGAGAGGAGTTGGTGGGAGGTATGGTCCATTTGACATCATTTCAGACATCACTAAGACCACCATAATGTGGAATTTGGGGTAAATTTGGGGTAAATTACCAAGAACATGGCATCATTGGTATGGCATAAGGGGAAATTATCTAACCACTTTTAAACTTTTCAATATTACCAATTTAATTCTAAAAAGTTTACGTGAGATTGCTTAAGGGGAAATTATATAATCATTTTTAAACTTTTCAATTTTGCCAATTTAATTTTAAAACTTTACGTGAGATTCCATTGTAATTCTTCCGGCTAGTTTTTGCTGGAAATCGTTGACATGGTGGTGTGCCATCTAGGATGGCAGGCGATGCCTAAACTGCTTTTTGGTAAATATTGATTGGAAGGATTATAGTGAAATTCTGCGCAAAAGTTTATGATTAAATTGGCAAAATTGAAAAGTTTATGACTAAATTGGCATCCGTTTAATAGTTGTAGAACTGATTGGGTAATTTTTCCATCAAATTGTCATCCCTTGCTTCAATCTTTTTATGAGAGAAAAATCCCACAAAAATTCCTAAACTTTCTTCCGTGATACATTAATACGCAAACGTTACATCGGATTTTTAACTGTAATTATTGACGGAATTGTGACATAATGTATTTCTAGGTCACTGTTTAGGGTGTTGACAAGATGAAAAGGAATTTGAAATATTGGAATCAAGCGGATGAAAAGTTAAAATCTTTCGTGATATTTTTGCTTTCCTAGATATTAATCAATAAGTGTGTGAAGAATTGCTCTTTAATTTGGTTGGGCTGAGCATGATCTGGGTTGAGCCGGTCTAATACCTAATCCAAGGACGAACCCATACAATATTAGTCCCCAATAGTTGGGACCGGGGATCGACCCTGTTGAGCTTGGGACCAAAGACTAAACCCACTATGTGGGCCTAGTCCGATTCCAGGATTAACCTGGGATCAATCGATTATTTTCTTGTTTGATTTTTTGTATTTCTTAAAAGGACAAATGTACTCTTTGTGTGTCTAAATATAAGTTGTGGTTAGTGGATCATAGTAGAAAGTGATAGTCGTTAAAGGTGATAATTCACTGCAATTATTCAATTAATAATACAGGTGGAATTTCGGTAGATTTTGAAACCAACCCTCAAACCTGTGATTGGGTAGGTTCCAAGTTCTAAAAAATGAGGTGGATTGAACCTATACAGAACATGGAACTTTTCACCCTTAGTATTGATTAACGCAATGACTTTTCATTTTAATTATATTTATTTGAATCGTAATGACAGGAAAATTAATCTTTTGTATTCTTTTTAGTAAATGAGATGTTCGTTCAGTATTTTTGAGTTTATTTTCGTTTTGTTTAACTAAAAATGAAAAAAAAAAAAAACCTGTTAGACCCTAGAACCTACCTAGGTTTCAGGTTCCGATGGGTAGGTTTCAAGTTCCAAAAAATGAGGAACTTGTATCCGATGGTAGATTTTAGGTTTCATGTGGAACTTGTAAGGAACCTGGAATCGCTCGTCCCTAGCTATAATGGGCCCACTTTTCAGACATTTTCTCTCTCCTTAGTTGTTGTCTCTCCTTCGTTACTCTCTCTCCTCTCACCATTTTCTTCCTTTTCTTTTTGCCTTTCGAGAAGCCATGGACGACGCTTCGTAGATTGCAAGGTCACCGGCCAGCCATGGACGATCTGCTCACCAACATGACGATGACCTATTCTCGGAGATGAGCTCCTCCATTGCCGACCGCTCGCGTAGAGATTCTTCTCCGATGACCTGTTCTCGGAGACGAGCTCGGCGAGCTTCCTTCTCCACGCGGAGATCTCCGACTCCTTGCGCACCACCTCGGCCTCCATCTTTTTCACCGTGATCTCGTAGGTCCTCCATCTCCACCTCGCGGTCCGAAATCTGCTTCAGCTCGTTGACGATGGCTTGGTCCGCCTGCTGAATCTCCTCACTGTTGTACGGGCTCTGGGCCAACTAAAGCTTAGCGTAGGCCGCCTTGATGGCGGTTGCCACCGCATCGGCGTGCTCGTGAGCGGGTCGTCCATGGCTGGTCGGTGACGCTCAATCCACAAAACGTCACCCATGGCGCCTCAAAAGGCCAAAAGAAAAGGAAGAAAATGGTGAGAGAAGAGAGAATAACGAAGGAGAGAGGAATAACTGAGGAGAGAGAAAAGGTCTGAAAAGTGGGCACATTATAGCCATGTGTCCATTAGTGGATGGTTCAATGCATCTCCTACATGGAGTGTTGAATGCACCTAATATTTTCGAAAGACGAAAAACACAACAAAATGAGAATATCGAGTAATTTCCATCTTTTTTTTCTCTACACCCTCACTTGGACCGGGTCTACGATAGCCACATAGTTAAAGATCTCACGACAAAGTTTAATATGATTTCTTCCGTCGTCGTCTTCTTTAGACAAATTAAAGGGAGTACAAAAGAAACAGAGAAACGACAAGGAGATGAGTACTTGACCCACAACCAGAAACAAAGCTGGAGGTAGTGGTGGTCTGGTGCTGGTGGTGAATAAGAGAAGATAAGTACGTCCAATTCGCCGTCATCGAAAGGCAACAATGAGTTCAGATCATTCCTTGATCCTGCTTCAACCTGCTCATCATGAAGAAGAAGAAGAAGAAGAAGATCGCTCCATCATAAGGAGGCTCAAGTGGTGGCAAAGGGTGTTGGACATGGAAGAAGCCAAGAAGCAAGTGCTGTTCTCGATGCCCATGATCCTGACCAACCTTTTCTACTACGGGATCCCCTTGGCCTCTGTCATGTTCGCCGGCCACCTCGGCGAGCTCGAGCTCGCCGGCGCCACCCTTGCCAACTCCTGGGCCACCGTCACCGGCTTCGCCTTCATGGTAACCATCCAATATGGCAATTTTCTGCTCTCTTTATTCTCTTTAATATACATATACTAGCTGACATTAATGACTTTTTTCTGGTATAAGAAAAGAAATAAAGAAAAGGTATTCAACTTTTGTGTGTGTATAACCTCTTAACCTTGTCAAATTTCTTTGAGACCCATTAATTATTCCAAATGGCCTTAAAATAATAGGAAACGGAGAAAAACAGAAAAAGGAAAGGCATAAGATTCAGGATACACATAGTATTGCACCTTGGTCTTGCACAGGAGCTTATCTGACTGAAATAGGAAAGTATAACTCACGAGGACAATCAAGTCAAGTGCTTGTGTTTGAACGATTAATACATGTCCTTGGAGTCCCATTTTGCTTCTATAGCTTCGCCCTCTCTCATAATCACCATTTGAGTCCTGTGGATAGGAACTCGGTAGTAGACTTGATCATAGGCCCGGCAGCCGCTTAGCCCCTTTAGGCCCGAAAATCTATATAGGGTGGACTTGAAAAAGGGCATCCCACTAAAACGGTCGGCCCTTATCCCGATACGGCTCGAACTAAGCGTAGCTCGACCGCCACTTAGTACACATTTCTTTAATATAGCCTCGGCAAATTTGGACGACAAAGTTTAGGCTGACCAACAACCTGGTCCACAGCCTTTCACTTGAGCATGTCCACGCCTCTCGAGGAAGAGGCTTTCGCTTTCGCTCTATATCCGCATGAATTTCACTGGAGCAAGTAGAATTTAACAAGAGTTGAATAACATGAGGAACGAAAACTACCGTAGAACAAGGAATTAATTAGGCATGTAAGTGTTGCTTGTGCATGTACCTAGCCAACTTTCGCTTCCTTTTTCCACCTATTATAATCTTTGATTTTTATATTATTTCTCGGCGGCCAGATGAATGCGTATTCAAGCCGTTCTTTACTTCCTTCTAGTAATCTTTCCAGAAAGAGCAAGTTGTGTCTAGCCACTCACGCCCCCGTTGTTGCACTCACCCAGGACAACAAAGTGTACCATCCACATTTCACCAGAACATGATTTAACGGATATTAATGTTATTTCTAAAGTTTTGATGAATTGTTTTCCACATAAACATTACAGTGGCCCCATCGTCAGCTTTAGATTCCCCTGACAAAGTGTAGCCATTACATGGTATAATTTTCCATTGCTCACAAGCTAAGAGTTCAACTTTGCATCGAGTAAATTGTTTGAGACTCGAACACGTGACAGTAATCACGTACCGAAGATCAATCCAGCCTGACCATTTGGAACTCGGGAACTATGATGTCAGTATGATAAAGTAGATTTCATAAATCGATAGCTGCAGATTGAAATAATAGAATACAGCGTAGACTGTGCAATGACATGGAAGTTAAATGACTCTAATGTGTCGATGGACATACGAAGAATCAATCTGAGTTTTACTATGAAATTATTACTGTACATGCATGTGTCGATAGAGTTTCATGCAATTGTGTATACTTAGTTTTTTCATTCTCTTGTTTTGTTAGACCGGCTTGAGTGGAGCACTCGAAACTCTATGCGGACAAGGATTCGGCGCAAAGTTATATCGAATATTGGGAATTCATCTGCAAGCTTCCTGCATTGTATCATTGTTCTTCTCCACCCTAATCTCCATATTTTGGTTCTTCACCGAGCCTGTATTGATCCTGCTTCATCAAGATTCGCAAATTTCGAAAACGGCAGCTGTCTACATGAAATTCCTCATCCCAGGAATTTTCGCGTATGGGTTTCTGCAGAATATTCTGAGGTTCCTGCAGACGCAAAGTATTGTATTACCACTGGTGATTTTCTCAGTCGTTCCGTTTGTTATTCACATAGGCATTGCGTATGCCTTGGTCCACTGTACAGTGCTTGGTTTCGTGGGAGCTTCTTTGGCGGCTTCAATTTCTTTGTGGTTATCAGTTCTTGTGTTGGCCATTTACGTGACTTGTTCAAAGCAATGCAAGAATTCATGGGAAGGAATTTCGTTCGAGTCATTCAGCTACATCTTCACTAATTTGAGATTGGCCTTGCCTTCGGCCGCAATGGTTTGGTACGTGAGCTTCTTGAATTCTTATCTGTCATTTATCATGTTGAACTCATCATCAATGCTTTACACTTCTAGTGACTTATCTGCCTACAGTTATTTGAAAAACTAGAAAGAAGTCAAAGCATGACTCTTGTCTCTCATAGATAATCTTCTGATGGTTTGTGTCACGTTGAGATCTAATTTTCAAGTTCACATTCTGCTGAAGGAGCAAGTGGATTGAATAGTTTGACCGTTCATTTCATCATCCTAATATGTCTTTAACATATTCGACAAGTTGATTCTAGGTATAGACAGGTTTGAAGGGGAGTTATCAATCAAAGACACCGGTTAGACAGGTGAAAATGTTTGATATGCAAATTGATTTTCTTCCCTGATCTACTTAATTTCCTCATCAGCTTGGAATATTGGGCCTTCGAGATTCTGGTTTTCCTAGCAGGACTAATGAAGAACTCTGAAACAACTACTTCCTTGATTGCAATGTGGTAGGTACCTCTGTTGCGTATCTTGCAATGCTTCCGCATTTCTCGTCGCACAAAAATATTACTATCATTTTCAGTTCTCATGCCTGTTCTTTGCTTTGAAATTTTTAGTGTGAACACGGAAACTATTGCTTACATGATTACATACGGACTCAGTGCGGCGGCAAGGTTTGTACGCACACTTGTTGCCGTTCTTGTTGTCTTACATCCTCTGATGGCTTCTCTTTTTGAGTTTTATTTTTATTAATCTGCTAAAAGAGAAGGGTTGTGCAGCACAAGGGTGTCCAATGAATTGGGAGCGGGCAACGCTGGCCGAGCAAAGAACGCGATGGCCGTGACACTTAAGCTCTCTATCTTGCTAGCGGTAGCATTTGTACTGGCTTTAGCCTTTGGACACAACATTTGGGCAGGTCTATTCAGCGATAGCAGCTCAATCATAACCGAATTTGGCTCGATGACGCCCCTGCTTGCCATCTCCATCACACTTGATTCTGTCCAAGGGGTCTTATCTGGTACAACATTGCAGAATTTGAATGAAGGGCATATCACAAGCTCATTACAATTCGTTTTTATTCCTCTTTTAATCGCTGATGAGGAGCGAACTTTTTGTTGAGTCAGGGGTGGCTCGGGGATGCGGGTGGCAGCATCTGGCCGTGTATGTCAACTTGGCAACGTTTTTCTGCATCGGGGTTCCGATCGCAGTCCTTCTCGGGTTCGAGTTGAAGCTACATGTCAAGGTGAAAGCAACCTTACGATGAGCACTCCTCTGAATAGTGAATGGTCGTGCTTTGAAACTTCAGATTCATTAACTCAACTTCGTGTTCTGTTTCTTGCACAGGGTTTGTGGATAGGCCTAATCTGTGGTCTCTCCTCGCAAGCTGCCACACTTCTGGTGATCACACTCCGGACAGAGTGGACCGGATTGGATCTGTCAGTCGACATGGATAAGGAAGATCCTCGTATCACATAGTCAAACATATATGGCCTTGCAAATTGCCAAAACAGTCATTTGTCTTCTTCCCTTACATGATTAGAGCATCATGGCCTAGCAAACGGCATTTTCACTTGACTCGAACGTGTATGTTAGAAGTAGAGAAACCATTCGAAATCCATGCCCTATGGTTATGGGTATGGGTATCTGGTATGCAAAATATGTTGGTCAAGTTGACAGATTTTAATGGATTAGTGACAATAAAATGTCGAAGAAAAATAAAAGGACAGAACGAGGTATTAATGAGTATCCTATGTGATTTATGCCCGTAGTCATCGAGCTCTTTAGATTTCTCTTTTGTGTAGCCGTGACTACAGATGATTAGAATTAGAATTATGTAGCTTTTCTCTCTCTTTTTTAAACCAAACGTAGAAATGATGTTCTACTCTCGCCTCAGAATTCTTCATAATTATCCCAAGTTAGAATATATTTCTCTTAATTTTAACACAAAAATCAAAAGGTCTTTTTCAGCAAATTGCAAAACCAAACTCCCACTTGGAATTTGAATTATATTACATCAATATTTCTAAGAACCACCGGGCCTGGTGGTCGGGCCTGGGCATGAAAGGCAGGTCCCTACTAGGCCTAATGACGGAGTAGAGAATGAGAAGAAAGTAACACTGTAATGGGCCCGTGGCCCACCGACAATCATAAAATTTTAGTATACATATAAAAATGCATGCATATATACATGTAGTTATACACGTATGTGCATATATCCATAAAGATACATCCATATATATAGACATTCACTGGAAGTTTGTGAGCTAATGTAAAACGGTTTATGGAATTAGATGTGCTCAAAACTGATGCATGTTGAGTCAGATTAGGATCACAGTATCTTTAGATACATTGATGCGGGCTGCCAAGAGAGAAAAAGCTCGAGCTATTATGAACGATTGTCCAATTTGGTTCTCAACTTAAATCAAACCTCACGACCCATTTTTTTTTCTCTAATTGACCATCGCTCGATACTTTTTTTTAAACTAGATTTACCGAGTAGAAGACCTCTTGTATGAACGATCATCCAACTTGGTGCGCGACATGCGAGTGCATGGGTTATCATCATATTACTTTATTGACTCGTCCCGTTGCTTTGACTGCCCCTCATCGAGTCGGGCCGCACTTATCTATGTCGTTACGTGACTCTAGTGAGAAAAGATTGATTGGAACTCCAAAAGGAATGAACGAAGTTAGAGGGTCAAAGTGCTAAAAAGAGAGAGAGCATGTCTAAGCATGTCCCTCGAAAGCGAGGGCCGATTCGAACAAAGGCTAGAAACCCACTCATACTTCACCTCCATAGTCCACCATGCATGATAACAAACGTGTTGAGGAGATGAAGTATATCATCTTTTCTTTTCCATCAAAAGCTGACTTACGAGAGAGAGAGAGAGAGAGGTTGCAACTTTGGACAGAACCCTAAAAAGATAAAGGCAAGAAAAAGCAAGAGAAGTCTTATCATTTATGGTGGGCTTTACGTGAAGGAGCTCCCATCAAGAATTGAAGGGTGAAATCTCCTTTGGTGTCTATGGAACCTTAGTGCACAAGTTTGGTTTTGAATCATGAGTCTTTTTCAACAATGGTGGCTTAAAGTGAAACCATTGCGTGGTGAATGCCATGCCAAATTACAATCGTTCCACCTTTGTCAAATCTACCACCCCCTCCCTTAGGATTTGCTTTTCACCATAAACATGCAAGTCGCAAACCATAAATAAAAGGGAGGAGACATCCCCCATCATAATTCCTTTGCTAGTAAAAAATTATCTTTTCGATATGTAATCATATCTCCATTAGTGACATGATCCGACAAAACAGAGGGATGCAATGTTAGGAAATCATGTTCTAACATAGTAATTTAGTGCGCAAAACAGCAAAGTCGCACTTAATGGTTCATTTAACTTTGTTGGTCATCTTAAATACGAACGAACTGGCCCGTTCCATGTGAATCGGATCCTTGAAAGAGTATTTTGAGTGATTACATAAGCTATGATCATTTAAGAACGAAATAAATCGGATGGATGAAACTTTGTGATGTCGTACAGGTACTTAACAGTACTAATAAAATTGAAAAAGTCAAAGGGAGAAAAAAGGTGAGAGGAGGAAGTTGCTCCATAAGTGACCCTACGATCCGTACGATGACAAATCGCGCATGGTTTAAGTAAAGGGATTTTAATAGACCTCGGATGCCATTTCTCTCCTTTACCAATGAGATTCTGGATTCAAAATTCCACAAAGTGGAAAATGATACAAATTGAGAATCTTTTCTACTTACTAGTTACTAGGGTGTATATAATTCTCTAATATCCACCGATAGCTTCTAAACCTAAAAAGTCGTCTGGGTTGGTCTAATGGCTGCTAGCTAAATTGACAATTCCGAAGCCCAATTTTCAAACTACAACAGATTAGGTAACGGGCACAATCTTCGTTGCAACTAATGATCGTGATTGCAGCCTGGAATTCAATGCGTGCATCACCCAATTCTATGCTCGATGTTTGTGTGCATAAGGAAAAATGAGACGAAAAGACATGATAAAGAGTTCCGTTGACATTGCGTCGCTTTATCGTAACTCGTAAGTAACAACGTATCTCAACATCCTTTCCCGATATTAGGGAATTCACTTACTCAACAAACCACTAGAACACAAAAGACTAGAAGAAGAAGTGGTTGGTGGCTTGGCTTAAGCACGGAACAAGCTTGATTTCAGGAGAAACGGGGCCTCGGGCGAGACTCGGGTGTGATTTTCGGGCTTCCTCCTTGCTTTCTTCTTGCTTGGCTGAGCAAACCTAGGCCTACAAATGCCAAACCGTGGGCTCTTGGGTGGAAACGAGGAGAAACACGGGCCGGTTCGGGACTTCTAGAGCGTGAGCTTCTCGGCCAAAACGTGAGAAAACTAGAAACAAAAGGAGAGGAAGATGGTGGATGGTGGTGTTGGCGTGAGATGATGGTGTGAGAAGAGAAGAGAAGGGGGGGGGGGGGGGGGAAGGGTGTCTTGCTATTTATAGGACTCTTGGAACTTCCTAGAAACCCTAGACTAAGCCAATAAGAGAGGTGCTCTAAGTCAATCTTCCTAGAAACCCTAGGACTCTTGCAGTTGATAGGCTGCTAAAGTAACTTTCTCTTCCTCAGAACATCTCAAAAGCTCAAATGCCTTCTGGAGTTCATCGATCCAGGATTCCGCTTCTTCGGGATCTCCAATTCCGATAAACTTCGGGGGTTGGAGCTTCATGAATTGCTCGATCAATCCGTGCATCGTACGGCCACCATTTCCATTTCCATTTCCGTTTGCTGCCACATTCTCAGCATTAGGCATTCGTTGTTGGGCCTGCTGTCCCTACAGTTCTCCCACGGTCGCTAGAGCCTGCAGAATTCCGTCTATTCGGGGGTCTTGAGTTGACTTTCCCTTCGAGGTCGAGGTCGCAACCGGGTTCTGAGCACTCATATTGGTATTCTAAGGCTGCGCATGGCAACTTGCCAAATAGTGTTTGATTCTGTTCTTTTGTTCCCAGAATCAGTTTGGGAATAGAAATCCGTTTGTTTAATTTTTTGATTCTGGGCACAAATTCTTGCAAATTTGTGCCCAGAATCAGTTTTGGAGCAGAATCAAGAATAAAAAAAAAAGTAGCTTCTTGATTCTGGGAACAAAAATAATAATCAGTTTTTTTTTCTTCTTCTTTTTCTTGATTTTTAATGTAGCTTCTAATGTCCGGCGCGAGGGCCACCCTCGCCGTATTTGGCAAGATTAAAATATTTTAATAAAAAAAATTATTAATAAAAAAAATTTTACCGGCCATGGCCAACGACCAGGCCATGGCGAAAAAAAATAAAAAAATTTATTAATAAAAAAAAATTTACCGACCATGGCCAACGACCAGGCCATGGCGAAAAAAAAAAAAAAAAAAATATTTTCAATAAAAATATTTTTTATTAAAATATTTTAATAAAAAAATATTAATAAAAAAATTATTTTACCGGCCATGGCTAGCGACCAGGCCATGGCGAAAAAAAAAAAATATTTTCAATAAAAAAAATTTAGTAAAATATTTTAATAAAAAAAATTCTTAATAAAAAAATTATTTATAAAAAAATATTTTACCGGCCATGGCCCAAAAAAATAAAAAAATTATTTTTAATAAAAGTATTATTAATAAAAAAATTATTTTACCGGCCATGGCCAAGGAGGAGAAGAAAAAAAGAAAGAAATATTAAAATATTTAAAATATTATTAATAAAAAGAAATTTTATGCCGTTACCAAACGCATTTCTGTTCTTTTACTATTTCAGGAATGGAAATTTTGGGCCGTTACCAAACGCCTTCAAATGCTCAGAATCAGTTCCCGAGCACAGAATCAAAAAGAATCATTTCTGAACAGAATCGTTGCCATGCGCACCCTAAGGGATCTTTTTACAACACAAGAATAGGTCAGTGGTCACAAACAAATATTAGCACACAACCTATTCAACCACAATCAATCATTCACATGCGCAAGGGTGTTTCCTAGCTAACTACCCCAACTTCAGCGCACCTTATCACTCCATGTCTTTATTTCCGCTTGGATTTCAGAATCGTTCTCCCCCATTCAGTGCATAGTTCGGTTTCTTCCTCTCTTGCCCATCATCCTAGAAGCCTGCCAGGAGCCGCACCTTGTTCAGGTCTTTAACCTCAGCGACCACTCTTGCTAGAAGCCGCACCTTGATCAGGCCTCATGCCCCGACGTCCACTTCATAGCCAAGAGCCGCTCCTTGATCAGGTTCTACCTCGGCGACCACTCCCCGCCCTCATCGAATCGGGTCCTTTCAGGATTTCACAGCCTCTTCTTGGCTCAACACCAAACTTGCACCTACTAGAGGGGAACCTGCTCTGATACCAAATTAGACTGTAGAGCCCCAACCTCGGGGTCATTCACGTGACGTCCCGTTCATTGTTATCTATCTTTACATACAAGCGGAAGCATAATTTCGGGACAATCACATTCAGAACAACAGCGAAAATTTAGACAAGCAGCATCATGAACAAAACTTATATTTATAGTGCATGCAAACATATTTTAACAAGCCCGTTCTTTTGGGTCATGGCAATTATCATATATTTTCATAGCCGACTATGAATAGCAAAACTTGACTTGGGTTATCCTATACCCACTACGACTTCTCGCTCCTTGCTTCTTCACTTCCACCCCGGTCCCGTCCGCCTGACCATCTCACATCCCACCCGTGGCTTTATCCCAGAGCCGGCCCGCCCGCACCGCCA